TGGGTTAAATCATTGAATATTTTTTGTTTATTCGGTCAATGTGTATTACGCGGACTCAAAAATATTGAATGTTTCGGTTTGTGATACAACACCACATAATGCTACCTGTATTATATGGTGCTGTGACAAGAAAAAAAAACTATGATATTGTCTGATCGACCGTCGGCTTTAATAAAAGTTATAAGTTGGCGAATTCAGGCAATATTTTAGTTTTCTTAATACTTAGTACCAGTCTTATGTCGTGAAGATGGAAATATGTATTGAGAGTAACTAAAAAAATTGTTATATTAGTAAGTGACGCATCAATTGGCCATTTCGCCCTGTATTCCGCTTTTTCTAAGCACGCCGATATGTAAATGAGTAGATCGGTAGTTCGATCGATTGTGATTATTCAGAATGCATTTTTATAAAAAATTTGGTGCAAATCAAGAGCAAATAGACTTACCGCAAAGTTCCAATCCTGTAATAATACCGAACAGTCTTCAAACTTAAACACCTTCAAGAGCAGCGCAACGCAGCAATGTGCAGAAATGTGATATTCAATATTAGTCATATTTCATACCTACTTGGAAATAAGTGTTGCCAACGAAAATTGTGCAAGTCCACTAGGTGCAACCGTGCAAAGAGCAGCAATCCATCAATTCTTAAAATATAAAAACTTTAAATTACACAAACATTAAATATATCAAAAAAACTAATTTTGCTAGGTGCGAACAAATCTAGACTAAACTTCACAAATTAACTTTTCGAATGATTCTTTAAAAAAACGATAATTTAGTCTTCTTTAGTCCAGAAATAAAATATACCCACTAAAAGGGAAGGGGTATCAACTTAAATGGCAACACTACAACACAAGCGGTACAGAACTGTATATTCCATGAGTAATAATATACCTACCACCATTGTAATGTTATGCAATACTATAGAACGGACGGATTTTTAGTTCAAATGTTACCAGTTGATCTTAGAAGTAAGTACAGTTATGCTGTCTGTGGTACAGTCGACTCAATTGTTTTAATGACCAGTACCTTTAAACCAATATTTTAATTATTATTTCAATTAACAATAATAATATTGCAATTTTTAAACACGAATCTAATATTATTAATATAAGTTTGTTCATTAGACACAAAAAGTCTGATTGTGTAAATATATAAGGTCCAGTCAGGCAACACTGTTCCCACAGTGTTGCCTGATTGACGTTATTATACGTTCATCCTCTGCATGTGTGGAATCGACATGTTTGGGATGTGTTTTCGTTGCAAACTTATTTATAGTTAGCATCAAGGCTACTGTTAACATTTTTATGATAACAGTAGCCTTGATGCTTGCGTTGTATGATTTTTGTTTTATTACAGCTTACATACCTACATTTTGTCTCTTAAAGCACGCCAGTTGGCATGGCTTTACTGCATTACTTATCTATACATCTATACGTATGAATAAAATTGGTGTGTCTGTTTGTAATATTGAAATAACTGTTTTTTACTACATGAATTTTACAATATGAATATAAATTGTAAAAATGACATTTTTGTTTATCTGTCTGGCTGTCTGTTTGTTCCGGCTAATCTCTGAAATGGCTGGACCGATTTTGACGGGATTTTTTGGCAGGTAGCGGATGTAATAAGGAGTAACTTAGGCTACTATTATTTTGAGAAAAATATTTTATTTTAGAAAAAAAAGTTAAATTGCCCGCGGAGGAAGTGGCGAGAACAGCTAGTTATTATAATATAAATACCGTAGGTATTAATGATTATGTGTCCCAACCCAATGTGCCGCAAAGTACATTTGTGTCGAGGTTGGTCTATGATATTGATATTTTATTTATGCAGAGGGCAAATAAGTAAACACCATTTTATTCGCAGTTGTCTTTTTATTAATATACATGCATTTTCTTTTTTGTATACAATAATATATGTCAATAATACAAAGGAGTTTTATATCCAACATATGATAATAAAGGAGCAGCATTATTATCTATTGCTCTATAAAATGTGGCTCAATTAAGGAAGTGAATATTTCTTAACAGCGATATACTTTATTAGCTGTGTCAGCGGTTACACCGGCTTGAAGATTTTAGCCTATATATTACACTGATATATAAGCTATATCACTGTAAAGTTTCAACAAAATCAGTTCAGTAATTTCTGCGTGAAAGAGTAACAAACAAACAGCCATCTATACTGACAAGATTTCGTGTTAATATATAATAATAATAATAAGATTTACATAATTTTTCCTTTTCCACATAAAAATATCATGTCATACTATATATATTTTACTAGCTGCACCCGCGACTTCGTCCGCGTAAAATACTGACCTTGACCAAATAATGAAAAAAATATTTGATGACCTAAACCCAATAAAAGCCAAATCGACACGTCAATAGCTGCCTTTATACGACACGTCAATAGCTACCTCTAAATGACATATCAATGGCTACCTTTATCTGGCACGTCAATAGCTGTCTTTATACGACACGTCAATAGCTTTCTTTATACGACCCGTCAATAGTTGTCTTTATGCGACACGTCAATGGCTACCTTTATCTGACACTTCAATAGCTGTCTTTATACAACACGACAATAGCCGTCTTTAAATGACATGGCAACGGCTACCTTTAAACACTTCAATAGTTGTCTGTATACGACACGTCAATGGCTACCTTTAAATGATATGTCAATGGCTACCTCATCTGACACGTCGATAGAAATAGAATGTCCTCATTTCAACGCCATTACAACCCTTTTTTCGCATTCAAAAGTGTCCTATGTGCTTTCTCAGGATCTAGACTAATTGTGTACCAAATTTCACTTAAAACTGTTGAGTAGTTTTGGCTTATAAGTGAGACAGATAGACAGACAGAGTTACTTTCACAGTTATAATATTAGTAAGGTATTTAATAACCTAACTCAAAACGGCAATGAAAAAAGTTTCATGCTTTTAAATTCAAAAATAAGGAATTTACATAAAAACTTTCATCCCCTATTTTATTTTACCCCCTTAAGTATAACATTTTTTCAAACTTTGATGGCCTATTTATTTATATTTAATCAACAGCCTCAAAAATAAATTTCAAGCTTCTAGCTTCAAAAATGACGAATGTACATAAAAACTTTCATCCCCTTTTTTATTTTACCCCCTTAAGTATAACATTTTTTCAAACTTTGATGGCCTATTTATTTATATTTAATCAACAGCCTCAAAAATAAGTTTCAAGCTTCTAGCTTCAAAAATGACGAATGTACATAAAAACTTTCATCCCCTTTTTTATTTTAGGGGTAAAATAAAAAAGGGGATGAAAGTTTTTACGAAAAGGCGCAAACAATATTTAATCATCTATACAGATAATAAAACTTAGAGGTCGAATGTCTGTAAATAGTAAATAAAACGCCAAAAACGCCTGAGTCAGGGAGATGTTAGAAGTGAAATAGAACACATGTAGATTTTTTCAAATACTTTGTTTCTCTTTCTGTTTGTACAGGTTGATATCCAAAACTGATGGACCCATAGAAATGAAATTTTTATTTTGTTCATACGCGCTAACCAAAGACTTCAGTGGCAGCAGTTTAAAATATTATGTAAGTAGCAAACATACCCGCGATATTGCTGCAATTAATTTTTCCGTACAAAACTGTTACACCCTATAGCACTCTGTATTTCTATGTTATTTTTTGGGTCGACTGTCGAGTATCACCTTTTTACGGATATTAAGTATCGTAGTTAGTACTTAGATATGGACATGTAATAGATAGACATAGAAATACAGAGTGCTATAGGCACTCTCTATTTCTATATTATTTTTGTGTATTTTTTGTGTCGACTGTCGAGTCACCTTCTTACGGATATTAAGCATCGTAGTTAATACTTAGATAACTTGTTTCTTAGGTTAGGTACCTTACAGGTCAGAGCCAGGGTGGGGTTAGTGCCCCACATTTCCCCACCGTGGCTACGCCCATTTAAAAAGAGTTTGTGTTGGAACTTACGATAGTTCTTATAATAAACTAACAAGTACGTAAGTTCCTTTAGTAAGAGTTATTAGTTTAGTAATGTGAAAGCAAATATTGCTAGCATAGTTTGTGCTAATCATATTCAACAGGCGTTTTAGTTTTTATCATTTGATACTTTCAAATTTTCATACACTTACATATGTTATAGCTGATCCTCTTAAAGACATTCGTTATCATGTTAAGCCACTAATACCATATTTGAGTTGCCATTCTGGAGGATTAATATGTCCTGCCCAATACCCTAAACTCACCGCTCTATCTTATTAAAATAAATAAATTATTCTTAAACCAAAACACATCCAAAAGGAGAACTTTTGGATGAATTGTAGTAAAATTACAGGAATTACATTTTATTAAATACATTTCCTGTATAAATAAATATAATATAATAGGTATATTATCAGCACTGGTTGAACAACTTTGAGACTAAAATATGTATGTCATAATGTATAATTCTCATTATAGCGATTATTACTCGTTTAGAACCTAGACCGTGTGTGTCCAGACTGGAATAATGGAAGTAGCAAGTTAGGAAGGTTATTGTTAACCTTGACTCGTGCCACTCAATATGTATATGTCTATGTATTATGGAGATATATTATTAACTTACTAACCAATAGTGTATTTGTAGACTTTGTACAAAAGTCCTCCAGGAATGGGAACGCATGAGGAATACTGCGTGCGCAAAGTAAAGTGATATTTGTAGTGCTGTTCATGTCTATAAGAAGAGGTTGCCACTTTCGATAAACTGAGGCATTCTAATTACTTAAAAACTAGAATAAAAATACTAATCCCCAAATGATGCTACGTACAGCTTCACTGGCGTAGGACCGCAAGACGGAATCCTCCGGGCATAAACCTTTGCTATACTGAAGACAACCATTTTAAATGAATGTTTAGTAGGTAGATAAGGGTTTATAGAGTGATAACATTTTCATTGGAGTAGGTGCAGAATGTAAACTAATTATGTATTACAAGAGTCTTTACTATAATATAAAAATAATAATGTTTACGCAAACACATTTAAAATACTTATCGGGTATTGTTTTCGCTACAAAACACCCAATCTTAGATTATAGTAAACTATGAAGAACATGTTACACATGCTCAGAAGTTAGTGTGAATCGAGTCGGAAGCTTCTTTAATAGAGCCTTCTATGAGACTTTTTTTAGGAAGATTAACTATATAATTTTACATAATACTAATCATATTGAATTATTCTATGTCAATTAATATTTTTATTAATAATATCATAGACAGGATAATGTTACATAATAGTATTAAGATAATTATGGGTGCTGTATATCCCGCACTTCCCAATCAGGTAAACATGTGAAAATAACAGTTAAATAAATTAACAACATAATATTATAAAATATTGTCGTATCTCATGTTCTTGTTTTAAGAGTTCCCACTTTGACAGGGAAAATAACCTTACTAACGTAAGGTTATCTTCCTTATAATATAACTGTTAGTGTAAACCAAACTGTTAACATAAAATAAACAATTAGTACAATAGTAATTTAAGCTGAGACGACGATGGAACGGTCATGTAATACCGTTCCACAGTATTTGTTAGCCTCCATTTTGTTGTACGTCATGTAGATCATCACGAGCAACAGGGTGTAGGACACTGGAAATCATAATTCAATTTAAAAATATTATAACAACTTATTAAAAACAACTATTTGTCCCAAAATGGTTTTATTTTGGAACAACTAGTTGTTTTTAAAATAGGGATAGGAGGGTGTAAATTAGAGTTGTATATATTTTTCAATGCCACATTGTAAACAACTAAAATAGAAGTATAGTAGACTATTCAAAAATGTTCATATTTATAAAGATTATTTTTATTTCTATTTCTAAAAAGAGTGCACTAAAGTATAATGCATTCTTAAATTCTTGTAAAGTAATTTATTAATGGTTACGTTATTGCAGTCGAACGAAAAAGGCCGCTATTCTCTATACTTATGGACTTTCAGGTGATACAAGAAACTTAGGTATATACCTATTATGCTTTACTTTATCCGTGCGAGGCTGGGACGATCCGCTAGTGTAAATATGAAAGTGATAATAAAATACTTACCTGAAACAGTTATTACAGCTGGTGCAAATATGATTAGTACGTAGCTCAACACATTCATAATGACACCAAATATGAAATAGGCCTTCACTTGCCCGGATTTTGTCTGAAAATTTATAATATCATTATTTTAAATCTATGTAGACTTTGTACAAAGTTGAATGTAAAAACCTGTTTTACTATGCTAATACTACTGTATACTGAACGCAAAGGTAACTAAGGTTAAATATTATATAGACTTGTCTCAATTAAGGCGGCGTTAGTAGTCCAGCGGTTTATCACACCGCTACCGATGATCGCGGGTTCGAACCGCTTGTCTCATTCTAATTTTTATTTTTAATAAGTGTTTCGAAATTAATTCAATGCTGTAAAAGTCTTCGTTTTGCCATTACAAAGTGACCTACCATATTCTACACCATACAATTACAAACAGACACTCCAATTTTATTTACATGTATAGATGTATCTATGCATGCACCTATAGAGTGTGCATTTAAAAAACGAAAAATCCATTTTAAGCATATTAGATTTAGGAAAAGACAACTATCTACGTTACTAACTAAATAAAATAACCTATAAATAATTTATCAATTTCAATGTATGTAAATTGAATTTATCATTATAACTTAAAGGTAAAAGAAGGAAAGTAGTAAAAGTGTAACAAAATATTTTGAATTAAGATGAGAAGCACGGATCGGTGGAAATATAAAATATACCTATCAATCAAAAGTATGATATACATACAAACAGACACTCCAATTTTATTTATATGTAAAGATGTATAAATAACGCTTACCTTCATTAATCCGTTGAGCAACAATACAGAAAATGCAAAATATATCAAACTCAAAATAAGGCTTACACCTATAGTTATGTTTATGTAAATATAATTCTGATAAATGTTGTGCACAAAATTGTAAGCCGTGAGATGTAGAGCTTGATAATAATAAATTTCATACCATACCAGGGCTGCAATAATACCGATGACGAGTATAGAATTGATAATCTGTAAAAAATAAATATTGTTAGTCATCTATTCTACTTTATAGGTAAGGTAGTTTTACCTACTACAACCTGTGTACTCCTGACAGGAACTAATTCCGAACAATTGCCATTTCATTGGTCCGATTAGTATGAAATAATTTGCAATTATGATACACTAATAGCGTATAATAATAAATAGATATGTATTAATTAGATATTTTATGGTCAAAGAAAGGGGAGGGTATCGGTTGTAAAGTGGACTAATGAACGCGGTGCCCTCTGGAAAACATCATGATACATTCCTGGTGAATTTGCCACGATGAGTTAACTGACTTGACCTCATGCTCATCTTCTTTTCTTCCACAGGTTTTTCTTTATCGAGCAGGCTAATGCTCCATTCCATTTTCATTAATTAAAAAAACAAACACTGTAATATATTTATTAGTTTGGTCTAAAAAATCAATCATCGTCTTAAAAAAAATCGTAGAAATAAAAATAAATTGGATTGATAGTGACAATTAAATTAGACTCCAGTATATAATAATATATCCAGCGGGTACGGGATTCTTGGGTTTTGATACCAAGTCAAAATCCTCGTACAATTTTGTACTAGATTTTTATAAGTAGTCATTTATTTAAAATCTTCTATAGTTCTTCATTTGGTACGTTTTTTTAAATAAATTACGGTCCTCGCATAGAAATAACTGTGAAACAAGTATTTCATTTCTGTTGTTTCTTAAATTGCCGATGGTCACGGGTTCGATTTCTAGCACGGTACAAACATTTGTATTCATGAGTACGATTGTTTGTATAGCTCTGGATGTTTTGTATATATACTCGTAATGTAAGTATAATTTCGTAAGTATTTACGAAAAACAAAATATGTGTTGGTATCAGTTGTCTAATAACCATAACACAAGCTAGCTTAACTTCGGACTAGATAGCGCAGTGTGAATTGTCCTGTTTATTTATATCATTATTGTTACTTGTTACGAACAACTCGAGTACATTCGGATGACTAAGTAAGAAAGAAATTAAAAAATCATTTATTCATGTAGGACATTTTAGCCCCTTATGAACGTCAAAGTTTTATATTATTTTGTTGTTCAGTAAACAGATTTAATTGAGAAGAACTGGCAAGAAACTCAATTAAAGTCTTATTTTTTTTAAAACCAGTTTATTTACAATATTTACTCATATATTATTATTATTATTATATCTAACATTAAATGATAATCCCGTGCATGAACGACTATTGCCATGCATGCTCGTCATTCAAGTAATCGTTTAGTGAGTAATAGGCTTTGCTCAGTAATATGATGTTTAGATGTTTGTATTTACTTAGAACAACATATATTTAAAAGTATAACACGCAAGTTTCTTGTTCACTCTTCTTGTGACGAGTCCGCGTTCCGAATATGACTATTCAAAAGTGCTTATATTAAGTTTATTTGAATAATGATATGTCTATACCGTCCGACCTTCAGTCAAAATATGACATTATTTGTGGTTGAAGAGTTTCTAAATTTAATTTGGTTCCATACCTACTTTTATAAATTTAAATAAAGATTTATAGTTAGTGGTAACAGTTTAATGAATTCATAGATGAAGTTCAATCTACGTCAAAAGACACATTATATATTTTATTAATACTAAAGAGTTTATAATACCTACTTTATGTAATGCTATCACAGCGAATCGGTTCCTTTATCCATACACTATTCTAAAATCACAAAAATATTTAACAACTGATTGGTGCGAAATTGAGAAAATACAATTAATACCTATTTTAAAACAAAGACAGATTCCAATTTCAAATGTAATATTTTGTTACTGTAATAGTATTTATGGATAGACTATGTATACTTACGTGTTTTTTTTTTAATTTCTTTGTACAATGTTAAAAGTTTTAAGAGTGGCAATACTTAGAACGTGTTTATACTTAGTCGTCTGCGTACATACCTCTGTCCGAACTGTTTCAGTCTACAAACAGCTTGCTTTGTAAGCAGTGTTTAGGTTTGGAAGGTGAGTGAAGTTACAGAGTATGGAGTTTATGAGGCACCGCTGGCGGCTTTTTCACACATATACGCACACACACACGTAATCGCGTTTACGCTTACACTCTACACACTTGGTTTCGGCTTGTAAGTGCGCTACAAAGCGTAAATAATTTTTTTTTAAATTATACTAACCATATTGATAACAGCGAATATCATAGATCCAGTCTCTACCTTCATAAAGTAGCAACATTTTCCGGCGTAACACATTGTGGATCTGGGAACGAGAATGAACATTAGTAAGTACCTATAGGTGCTGTAACGATCCGGTCGACTCCCGTACAGGGTGTCTAATAAATAAAACACCGCCATCAAGTGATCTTGCATAATAATCGAAATGAACTTTAAAGTTATCAAGTATAAGGTCTATATTAAGGTAGCGGTTTAGCACACCCCCTTACTTCCGATGGTCGCGGGTTCGATTCCTCGCACGGTTTTTCTCTTTTCAGCACTCTAACCATTTCGCTCCAAACTCCTGCTACGTCAGTCCAATCCATCCATCAATCAAGTTGTCACTGTCACAAAGATTATTTAGGCTCTGGCCTCTGCCATATATTCAGATTTTGATACTTTGTTTCACATACATTGAATTTTTACCATTTTTATTTTTCATTTATATACTTATACTGATACTGAACTTTGGCTTATTAGGGGTCAGGGGTGTCCACTAATATCTAATAGTAATTATTGTAGTGCTAATAGTAAGTAAGTAATACTAGTAATAATTATTGGCGAAAGTCTTATGAACATGTCATAAAAGTGGAAAAGTATTTCATAGAACAGGACAGATTGGTTGAAACCGCAGAAGGAACGGTTTACATATAAATACAGCCGTGTCATCGTCATCCTCATTAGATGAAGACCTGATGAAGACTTTAGAGATCCTGGAACCATTTTCAAGTTCTTCGTAGTTGTTTGCTTGCTTAATGTAAGGAGAAAACACAAAACGAAAAACTTCTTCATTTGGTGTGTAAATAAAAAGTATTGAATGGATAGATTTTAATTCACTATAATGCAGACATAATTTCACTCTTTTCTAAAAAAATATCACTAATAGATTGGTAGGTATCACTAACAGGTAAATAGGTTTTTTTTTAGGTTTTGTATTTTATGTTGGGCTAAAAAGGACTTGTATCCAGAGCCGTAAAATATTAAATAAAAAAAAAATAGGTAGGCCCTAATCATGTCATCCGCTCATACTAAAATACGACTAATTAACCACCACCACTCTTGAATAAACTGCATTATTTTATACATTAAGTGTAAAATATTTTTTTGGAAAATATTCAAGTATCAAAACGGTTTAATCCAATCTCCCCAGTATTGCGAACATCAATTTCTTTTTACCATTTTTGTCATGAAATTCTGGTACATCTATAATGACTGTATTTTTATGCATTATTAAAAAAAAATATTAGCATTCTGCACTCCGTTCTTTTTCTATATATTCTTATTAATATTATACTAATTCTGCCTGTCTGTTTGTCTGTGTCGCTTTCACGTCAAAACTACAGAACTGATTTAAATATAATTTGGTAAACATATAATCTAGACCCCCAGAATATAGCCTATATCCTAGGCTACTTTTTAATGCAAAATAAGGGCTGTAAGTGTTTGGAAGCGGAGATAACAGGCTGTATGCAAATGTCGTCATTTTTAAAGCGAGATCACACTTAATTTATAGGCTGTTTAAATATAAATTAATATGACATTCAAAGTTTGTTATGTTACCTTTAAGAGTGTAAAATTAAATAGAGGACGTAAATTTGTTAACATTGTTCAAGCATTATTATTGCTTGAACGATGAAATTCTTTTCTTTGGCATTTTTGGATTAGATCATTGAACATTTTTTTTTATTCGGTCAATGTATAACACGCGGACTCAAAAATATTGAATGTTTCGGTTTGTGATACAACACCACATAATGCTACCTGTATTATATGGTGCTGTGACAAGAAAAAAAAACTATGATATTGTCTGATCGACCGTCGGCTTTAATAAAAGTTATAAGTTGGCGAATTCAGGCAATATTTTAGTTTTCTTAATACTTAGTACCAGTCTTATGTCGTGAAGATGGAAATATGTATTTGAGAGTAACTAAACAATTTTGTTATATCAGTAAGTGACGCGTTAATTGGCTATTTCGCCCTGTATTATTTTATTAACAAATTCGGTGCAAATTAAAAACAAATAGACTTACCGCAAAGTTCCAATCCAGTAATAATCCCGAACAGTCTTCAAACTTAAACAACTTCGAGAGCAGCGTAACGCAGCGTGCGGAAATGTGATATTCAATATATGTAATTCATATTTCATACCTACTTGGAAATAAGTGTTGCCAACGAAGATTGTGGAAGTCCACTAGGTGCAACCGTGCAAAGAGCAGCAATCCATCAATTCTTAAAATATGAAAACATTAAATTACACAAACATTAAATATGCCAAAAAATTACGTAGTCCTGTAATTTTGCTAGGTATGAACATATCTAGACTAAACTCTACAATAATAACTTTAAAAAAAAAAAGTTTTTTAAAAAAACGATAATATTTAGTCTTATTTAGTCCAGAAATAAAATGTGCCCACTAAAAGGGAAGGGGTGTCAAATCAACTTAAATGGCAACATTACATCACAAGCGGTATAGGAGATTGATTAGCGGGCTTTTAGAAGAAATAGACGCGAATTGAAAAGATCCCAAAAAAATATTTATATTTATTGTTAATTTCACTGTATTATTAGACAATTAATAGTCACAATTTACTGTTTTATCATTTATTGTTTTATTATACGTTTCTTAACGGTTACACATTCTTCTAACAAACTTATCCAAACTCCTTTATGACAGCTTGTGTCATTTGTCTTTTGACACTGACTTATTTATACAACATAGATTATATATCATTATTACTACTACATCTTCCCCTTTAAAGAAATTAAATAACAAAACTAAAATTCACAATCATAGTCCTTAAGATAACTAGGAGCATTAATTTTCCTTTTAAACCTAACTACATTTTGATTTTGTTCATTATGTTCTGTATTACCATTTATAAGACTCTCACTATTGTCACCTTCCACATTTACCTCATCTTCATTAATACAAATATTTGATTCAGGGATACACACAGCCATTCTATCCTTACAAGTTGGAGACAATTCTTTTATTATCTCTTCACCTCCTCCTGTAGTGATAGATTTACATGGTTTTACCTGAGATGTATTTCTTCTTAATACACTTCCATTTTCATCAACAATAATAATAGATCTAGGAGAATTGTGAAAATCCTTCACTTTTCCTTTTAACCATACAGTATTTTTCAAATAAACTATATCCTGACCTATGTAAAATTTATCATTACTTGTTAAAGCACATTTATCATAATTACATTTATTAGCATTGTCCCTTTTAGCTTGATAGTCATTAAAATCGTTTACAACTTTAGGAAGTAACAGTTTGTCATGAATAGGTATCTTAGACCTAATTAATCTACTGAATAACAATTGTGATGGTGAATATGGTGAACCCAAAACAGGAGTATTTCTATATTCTAACAATAAATAATGTATGTCTAATTTATTTTCAGAACACTTCTTTAACATATTTTTAGCAATGCCCACAAACCTTTCTATAAAACCATTAGATTTTGGATATAATGGACTGGATGTTATTATTACAAATTGCCATAATTTTGCAAAATTTTGAAATTCCCAGGAATTAAATGGCATATTATCAGCTCGTATTACTTTAGGAATGCCATGTATTGAAAAAATACTTTTTAATATTTTTATTACTGTGGAAGCAGACAATGATGATACTTTAACCAATTCAAACCATTTTGAATAGTAATCAGCTACAATAAGATAATTTTCTCCAGAATAATTAAAAAAATCACAACCTATTTTCTCAAAAGGTAAATTAGCTCTTATATCCAAAATCATGGGTTCCTTTGCCTTCCTAGCACTATACTTCTCACACAATGCACATTTTGACACTACATTCATGATATCCTGTTTAATGCCTGGCCAATAAAACAAAGAAGCAGCTCTAGATTGTGTTTGTGTTATACCAAAGTGTGAACTGTGCACTTCATTGATAATTTTATTCCTTAATATTGCTGGAACTATTATCTTATGATCTACATATACTACCGAGTTTTCATAATAAATGTTATTTTTAAATTTATAAAATGACTTTACATGATCTGGCACTTTACTTATCTTATTTGGCCAACCATCTCTACACAATATTATTAGACTTTGTAATATTATGTCATTCTTAGTTTCCGAAATTATCTCCTTCATATATGCATTAGAAACATTTACTGTATGAACTACTTTATCAATAGACAATTCAAAGTTTTCAATACTGGCTGTACTCGACGCCCTACTTAATGCATCAGCAATCAACATTTGAGATCCCCTAATAAACTGCAATTCTAAATCATATATAGCCAATTTAATTCTAATTTTCCTCAATCTCTGTGAATTTATCTCATGCAATTCTTTGTTCATTAAAGCTATGAGTGGCTGATGGTCAGTCTGTACAGTGATGTGTCTACCATAAATATAATAATGAAATTTACGACAAGCAAATAACACAGCTAAGAATTCTTTGTCTATTTGCCCATATTCACATTCAATTCTACTAAGACTTTTTGATGCAAATGCTATAGGATGCTTATTTTGTAACAGTACACATCCCATGGCATTCTTGGAGCTGTCTGTCTGTATTACAATTGGTAATGAGGGATCAAAATTTTGAAGTACTGGTGGGGACATTATGAGCTGTTTTACTTTCTCAACACATTTTGTGTGATTTTCATTCCACTGAAAAACTATATTCTTTTTTAGCAGTTCACGAAGAGGAGTTATTATTTCAGACAAGTTGGGAATAAAATCTCTCAAATAATTAACAAATCCTAGAAATCTCTGTAAGCTCTGTTTATCATTAGGCATATCATAATTAATTATTGCTTTTATTTTGTTACTATCTGGCCTCAGGCATCCATCTACAATTTCATGACCAAAATAGTGCACTATGTTTGGTAAATATTGAAACTTATTTATATTAAATTTAATATTCAATTCCCTAGCTCGCAATAGTACTTTTTTTTATGCTACATCATGTTCCTCTTTAGTGTTACCAAATACTAAGAAATCATCAATATATATGAAAAGATTATCTATATCATTAAAGCATTTTTCACAATTTTCTTGGAATATTTCAGCAGATACATCTAACCCAAATGGTAAGACATTAAAAGAATAAGTGCCAAACACTGTAGAAAATGTACACAACTTTGTACTCTCCTCTGACAACCCTATCTGCCAAAATGATTCTTTTAAATCTAGAACAGAAAAATATTTAGCTTTACCTATTTTCGTTTTCAAATCATTAATTGTAGGAATCTGATAATATTTTTTTAGTATACATTTATTTAAGGACTTAGGATCTAAACATATACGTATAGAATCTTCATCTTTTTCTACTATTACAATCCTATTTATCCACTCTGTGGGTTCCTCTTGTTTCTTAATTATTCCCTGGTTACATAAGCGATCTAACTCTACTTTTAGCTTCTCTTTTAATTTTATAGGTACTCTATGTGGAGGTTTAGATACAGCTTCAGATCCTGGTTTCAATTTAATTCCATACCTTTTAGGAAATCTCCCGGACCCTGTAAATACATCCATATAATCATTGATAATGTTACTTCTGTTTGTGTTTCCTTTAATATCCTTAACTCCATTTACATCCCTTCTTAGCACTAGACCAATCAATTCACATCTATATCTTCCTAATGTCGGTTGAAGACCTGATTCTGTGACTATAAATTCAATTAAATAAGTTTTAGAATTTAATTTGACTTCTAACAATACAAGCCCATGCACTTTAATACCAGATTTATTATAAGCATGTAACGTAATTCTACATTTATTTAACAAAATCTTTTTGCTCTTCAAAAGGTTTTCATATATATTGTATGGAATTAAATCTACCTCTGAACCTGTATCCAGTTTGAACTTAATATATATGTTATTTTCTACTAATAATTTTTGCACCCATTTATCATTATTGCTATTGTATACTGACCCACAGTAGCACTCTCCTTCAGAGCCTTGTGGCTCCTGTTTTTCTACAGCTTTTACATTCTGCTTCAATCTCGTACGACAAACAGATCCAAAATGGTTAAGTTTCTTGCATCTGGAACATTCCTTTCCTCTTGCTGGACACTTTTCCATTTTTGCCACATGTATTTGACCACACCATTTACAGTTGATTGTCCTTTCACTGTGATGTTTTTGCAATACCTGATCCACATGGTTATCTTTTTTCTGGATCTCCTCCACTTGCCTCTTATCCATCTCTGATATTCTCAATCTTTTTATGACTTCTTCTAATTCCATGTCTCCTTCTACCAACAATTTCCTTTGACATTTTAAATCTGACGTGCCCAAAACTAATCTATCGCGTATTGCTTCTTCTTCAGATTGAAATCCACAGTCTTTCACTAATTTATTTATATCCGTCAGGAAATTATCAAATGGCTCACCTTCAGACTGACACCTTTGATAAAATAAGAATCTACAATACAACTTATTCTTCTTAGGCTCACAATATGCTTCGAATTCTTGTAATATTCTAACATAAGTTTTCTCTTCATTTTTCAAGTTGAAATTGTTATAAATTTTTATACCTTCTTCTCCCACTAAATTCAACAATATAGCTACCTTTCTTGCGTCTGGTATTTTTTCCAAGTCCGCAGCTAGTAAATATATTTCAAGCCCTTGCTTGAAAGCCCTCCATTTCTCGGCCAAATTTCCCGAGAGTACAAGTTTTTCCGGAAAATAACACTGCATCTTTTTATATGGTTTCGTTTCGTCTCGACTGCGCCATGTATTATTAGACAATTAATAGTCACAATTTACTGTTTTATCATTTATTGTTTTATTATACGTTTCTTAACGGTTACACATTCTTCTAACAAACTTATCCAAACTCCTTTATGACAGCTTGTGTCATTTGTCTTTTGACACTGACTTAATTATACAACATAGATTATATATCATTATTACTACTACATTCACTGCAAATACTTTATTTTTCCTTATATAGATAATAATTACGTCGTATATAGTTATTAAATACCTATCTTAGTATCATGCCTGAGGGGGACGGCGACGCCCCGTCTCCGGGCCGAAAAACTGCGAAGAGACAAGAAGAGCAGTTAAACCGTTTGGTTTAGTTAGATTGACTTTTTTGTATGGAAGTCTTCCAGACTATGTGTATTTAGATATATTTAAATATAGATAATATGAATACATGGCTCCTCTTCTGCAATGCTATAAATCTTTCAAATTTAACCATGATGCAAAGTTCTGTAAATCTCCTCAAAAGTATTTAATATGTGCAGGTGATCATCAGTATTCTGAATGAAAAGCAGAAATTATTAAACAATGTATTAACTGTGGAGGTCAGCACCTGCTATCTCTCGAGATTGTCCTGTTAAAAAGTATAAAATGGAGGAAAAAAACAATAATTTTAAATATTCTCAAGCTGTGAATTTTAAAAATGTTGACCCAAACAATATTACAAAAAACTATGACACTAACTTTCCCACATTACGTTCTAGTTCTAGAAACAATAATAATACTCAAGTCAAAATAAATAATAAATCATCTACGGAAAAATTCCCATTACCAAGTACACAAGTTGAAAATAAAGAACTTATTGAAATAATTCTTAAAAGTGATCACATACTAAACGGTCTTATTGGAGCATTAGTCTCCTTAGGAAATGATAGCAGGGTACTGACGTCCTCAGTTATTAAGGGCATAATAAAAAGTCTTAAAAGTGATTAAGCCATTAAGTCAAGAAACTCTCAATTCAATATACAAAGTATGTATAATAAAAAACCTTTATTTATTAATTATATTCATGAGAATTATATTGATATTTGCTTGTTAAATTAAACATGGTTGAGAGAGAATTGCTACTTTAACATGCCTGGTTATAACTATGTAAGTCAAAATGATATAGGTGGATATGGAGGTGTAGATATATTAATAAAAAACGATTTTAAATATATAATTGTACCCCACCATTTTATGACTTCATGCAATCTGTAGCTATAATATTAAAAACACAATTGGCTAACTTGGAAACAAGGCTAATACGTCGATCTAACTCTTTTGAGTGATAAGTATACAGATTTTATTGGAATTGTGAAAGCGGTGAAAAATGTATGCGGTGTTTATGTGTCGAAGTACGACAATTAAATGTCTCAACAAATTGTTTATACACGTTCCTAAATGCCCAAAACGTCGAAAACAATTGTTACAATTGGCACGACGAGACCCACAGTTTACATCTGATATGTCTGCGAAATTCTTATATGAGGATCACTTTGGTGTAAGTATTTAGAAGAAATCAATATGTTAGTTTTCCAAAAATAAATGAAACCTAACCTAACTTTTTAAACCATAGAATAAACAAGCCTAATTTCTACCTAATGACACTTAGGTTTTCTTTATAACTACCTAATGATATGGAAAATTTCATCCAATACAGTATAATTGGTTCTATTGGTAAAGTAAACATTGTGAACAACCTGATTTTTGTTCAGAGTTTATTATTTAAATAATAAACTCGGCAGTTTAAAAATAAACTAAATCATATCAATTTTGCCATAATCAAACTCGGACTCACCTGTATAGACTGAAAATGGTTCTCAACCCAAAATGTCCTGAAGAATTCCAAAATTGCAATGAAGATGAAGATTTGAATCATATTATATTCAAATGTAGAAAATACGGACTAGACAGATTATTACTCATTCACGAGATTCAAGAGCATAGTAATGACGTACCGAAGTCTCTAGAAGAGATCTTATCAAAGCCTATACTATTCAAGACTTTATATAAATTTATTTCCAACACTGTAAAGAAATTGTCATTGTTTTTAAGTTATTGTACTTTATGTTGGGCTAAAAAGGACTTGTATCCAGAGACGTAAATTATTAATAAATAAAAAAAAGCAATATAGAATTGTATATTCCATGAGTAAGAGTATTATTCCATAAGTATGAGTAAATAATATATCTACCCATTGCAGTTTAATGCAATGTCACCAGTTTATCTTAGAAGTAAGTACAGTTATCTTGTATGTGGTACAGTCGACTCCATTGTTATAATCACCAGTACCTTTAAAAATATTTAAATAATATTACAATTAACAATTGTTGTGGACTTCATAGTATATTGCTGGCCACTTAAAAGCTACTTTCTTTACCTTTAAAAAGTATTGTATAAATTTGACTTGTTAATTTTGTGACATAAGAAAAATATACGATTTTATTTTACTCTTTTTTGCATCGACTTATTTTACATAGTCATAGAGTAGATGCAATAGCTTTCTGCATATAAAGAACCGACATACAAACATAATACATATAATATTATCCACCACAACAATAATACAATTACAATTTTTAAACACGAATCTAATATTATTAATATAAGTTTGTTCATTAGACACAAAAAGTCTGATTGTGTAAATATATAAGGTATAAGGCAACATTATGGGATGTTGACGTTATTATATAATACCTACATTCTCCGCATGTGTGGAATCAACATATTTGGAACGTGCTTTTGTTGCAAACTTATTTATAGTCGCCAAAAATGATAACAGTAGCCTTGATGCTTGCGTTGTATGATTTTTGTTTTATTACAGCTTACATACCTACATTTTGTGTATTAAAGCACGCCAGTTGGCAAGTTAAGTCGTTGCTTTACTGCATTATTTATTGTTATGAAATATAACATGTACAATATAGTCATACTGAAAACAAAATGACTGTAAATTTTGAGAAAACAAAATATATGCAATTTCGTAACACTAAAGCCATCCCTGTAAAATTAGATATTAATTTCAATGATAAACAGATAGAAGAAGCGTCATCTATTAAATTCCTTGGAGTATGGTTGGATCAGAATTTTAATTCGGATATACATATTAATAAAGTATGTAATAAATTAAATCGATTCGTTTTCGCCTTACGACGTCTTAAAGAAGTAAGAAGTACTATGCGAAGGTAAAATGAAGTTGTCAAATGGACTCTTTTTACAAAATAGGAAGTTGGGTTGAATAGTTTCAGGTTCTATTTACCTTAGTAGCACATGCAATAATAATTTACCTATCCAATGTAATTTTATACAGTCAATTAACAGGCAGTTAGAGGAGTTGAACGAGCATGCGAGCACCAATTCGTTGGTACCACTACGCGCAACATTGATGAAGGTTTTTTGTACCCTTGTCGTTGAAACAGTCGCCATCTGTCTGAGGTTTTTTCAGTTTAATCGCATGAGACGAGTTATATAGAGATATATATTACACGCAATACATTTAAGCGGCAGTCGGGTGTTGTCATTGTTGACTATTCGAGAGCATCAACTTTATCACTAGTTTACTTATCTCAAATATTTTCAAATACGTTTATGTTGTTTGGAAATAATCTTACTTTAAGTAATAAATATGTATAATGTATTAAAATTATTGTCTAATTTTTCTTTATAGCTATTTTGCCATAAACACTTGCTATACGCAGCCCCACAGGAGTTTCTGTTCAATTTACGAAATATATGAAAACTAGCCAAGTTAGCCCTTAGGCTACAGTATATTATCCTAAGTTATAAGAAAAAATGATATTTTATATTGTTATAAATACATTTCAGGACAGACCATTGAACTTGGCACCTATTTAGATCTCACCTCTTTTGTCGTAGAAGTCAACAATCAAGGCATATATCATAATATTAAACTCGGCTATCATTTCACATTTATGTTTTTGATGGGATATCATTACTTTTTGTACATAAATTATACGAGGTACTTATTTATAACTAAATTAATACCAAATTATTTTTGATAAATTACTGTATTTTCGTATATTTACGGGGTATAATTGTCTTTTTTTTGTGTTATTTTCTATATTTTCTTGTAACTTTTAAATGTTCAAGTTCAATGCCAATTCAGTATCAGGAATTTTTGGGCAAATCGGGGCGGTATAACGTCCACAGATGGTTGTACTCTACAATAGAGCTCTCGTGACTTGGATCTAAATTGTTAAGACGTACTCCATCTAAGGTTTTAACTCTGGAGATTCCAACGTAAGCCTGCCCTTTATTAAATATAGAGGAGCCTATGTTGAGAAGAGGACTGCCAAAACTAAGGCCTTGTGATTTGTGGATAGTAATAGCATATGTTAAGCAAATACGGAATTGTTCCCCGTCAACATATACATTATTTAATATCTGAAACTTGGTATTGACACGTTATAGTTCGTAAAGACGATTATGTAACAAATTGACTGTTATCTATTGAATTCTCAAGAAAACAATTTGTTACCAATGAGTTCTCATTCTCGAGATAACTATACATTCCTACTTATAACTATACTAAAATTGTTATTAATTTTTGGTTTAAACTATTGTCTATACCATACGTATTTACTAAAATAATGTAATAATAATATAACCACAAATATATAAGTATAATTTAAGAAAACTATGAATTTCGTAGCATAAATCGCAACCTTATAGGTTAGATCAACGTTTTATCGCACCGCTCCCACACGGCGCCGCGGCGCCCTATACCGAAATGCCTATTATTTAATAATTATTTATAAAAATAATGATCTTACACTATCGATGTGCGCTAAATATTGAAACAATAAGTAATACCAACTCTCAGTTAATAACATAATAAATACGAAATTCGACTATACTCCTAGTTATAAGTACGAGTATATTTTAGACAGAATCTAAATTATAGCAACTAGTGTTTACCGCTCAATGCAATATTTGAAGTTTGCTAGTTATCGACACTGATGTGAAGGGGTTAACGTAAATTGGCAATGATCGACGTTTTCATACAATATTAGTTTCCGTCCAGTACAAGATGAGCTATTTTGCCAGGGATCAATGTCAATTGGTGGCTATCGACGTTTTCATAGAATTTTAGTATTCGTCCAGTATAAGTTGAAATAGAATCAATTAAAGTGAAAAATTATAGTAAAATGATAACAATTTACCAGTTTCAGATTTTTTCCTTTATATTCACCTAATTACCTATCTGCATGCCAAATTTGAACTTCCTAGGTCATCTGGAAGTGGGTTATAATTTTGATCTATAGTTGATCAGTGATAAAAATGGCGATTTTTTGACATTAATATCTAATTAACCGTGTTTATGAAATTTGGAATACATATTTATCTCGCAAGTCTCAATATATGAACCAAATTTGACAGGTTTATGTGAAAGAGTTTTTGAGTTATGAGGGGGTCAAAAGTGGCTCCAAATGGTTCGTGTAAATATACACACGGTGCTGCTCGCCAGTTTACTTGAAACTCGGCTTGACACGCTACCGCGTGTCTAGATTTGAGTTGCTATTCTGGAGGATTAACATGTCCTGTCCAATACCCTAAACTCATCGCTCTATCTTATTAAAATAGATAAATTATTCTTAAACCAAAACACATCCAAAAGGAGAACTTTTGGATGAATTGTAGTAAAATTACAGGAATTACATTTTATTGTATTTTAATTTATTTACACATAAATTTATACAACATAATACAAAACAATAAGCCGCAAAACTGCTAAGCAGTTTGTCTGCAGCAAAAGCTAATTAAATACTTTTCCTGTATAAATAAATATAATATAATAGGAATATTATCAGCTGTAGTTGAACAATTTGAGACTGAAATATATATGACATAATGTATAATTCTCATTGTAGCGATTATTACTCGTTTAGAACCTAGACTGTGTGTGTCTAGACTGCAATAATGTAGCAAGTTAGGAAAGTTATTGTTAACCTTGACCCATGCTACTCAATATGTATATATCTATGTATTAGGGAAATATATTATTAACCTCAGCTAACCAATAGTGTATTTGTAGACTTTGTACAAAAATCCTCCAGGAATGGGAACGCATGAGGAATACTGCGTGCGCAGAGTAAAGTGATATTTGTAGTGCTGTTCATAAGAAGAGGTTGCCACTTTCTATAAACTAAGGCATTCTAATTACTTGAAACTAGAATAAAATTACTAATCCCCAAATGATGCGAGGTACAGCTTCACTGGCGTAGGACTTTTCCCGTACTGAAATACAGCCATTTTAAATGAATGTATAGTAGTTATATATGGGTCAGATATTTTCATTGGAGTAGGTGAAGAATGTAAACTAATTATTTATTACAAGAGTCTTTATTATAATATAAAAATAATAATGTTTATGCAAACACATTTAAAATACTTATCGGGTATTGTTTTCGCTACAAAACACCAAATCTTAGATTATAGTAAACTTATATATAGAGGTTCTGCTAAAAACAAGAACATGTTACACGTGCTTAGAAGTTAGTCTTTCTGTGACTCGAGTCGGAAGCTTGACTAAAATTTTATATGGACTGGTTCTTTAATAAAGCCATCTATGAGACATTTTTTTTAAGATTAACTATACAATTTTGCATAATACTAATCATATTGAATTATTCTTTGTCAATTAATATTTTCATTAATAATATCATAGACAAGATAATATTACATAATAGTATTAAGATAATTATGGGTGCTGTATATCCCGCACTTCCCAATCATGTTAACACGTGAAAATAACAGTGAAATAAATTAACAATATAATATTATAAAATATTTTCGTATTTCGTGTTCTTGTTGTTAGAGTTCCCACTTGGACTATGAAAATAACCTTACGTTATATCATAGAACTGTTAACATAAAATAAACAATTAGTACAATAGTAATTTAAGCTGAGACGAGGACCGAACAGTCATCTAATACCGTTCCACAGTATTTGTTAGCCTCCATTTTGTTGTACGTCATATAAATCATCACGAGCAACAGGGTGTAGGACACTGGAAATCATAATTCATTTTAAAAATATTATAACCAGATTTTAAAAACAACTATTTGTCCCAAAATGGTAATAGTAAAATAGGGATAGAAGGGTAAAAATTAGGGTTGTATATATTTTTCAATGCCACATTGTAAACAACTAAAATAGAAGTATAGTAGACTATTCAAAAATGTTCATATTTACAAAGATTATTTTTATTATTATTTCTAAAAAGAATGCACTAAAGTATAGCGCATTCTTAAATTCTTGTAAAGTAACTTGTTAATGGTTACGTTATTCGAGTCGAACGAAAAAGGCCGCTATTCTCTATACTTATGGACTTTCAGGTGATGCAAGAAACTTAGGTATATACCTATTATGCTTTACTTCATCCATGCGAGGCTGGGACGACCCGCTAGTGTAAATATGAAAGTGGTAATAAAATACTTACCTGAAACAGTTATTACAGCTGGTTCATATATGATTAGTGCGTAGCTCAACACATTTATGATGACACCAAATATGAAATAGACCTTCACTTGCCCGGATTTTGTCTGAAAATTTATAATATCATTATTTTTAAATCTATGTATGTGTCTTTTTAAATCTATGTACTTTTTTTCCTTATAACGGCTGATTGTGTGTGTGATACATGCAAATATAAAAAATTGTCCAATAATCAAGGATAATTTTTGATAATCTTAGTGTGACGAATGTGGGGTTCGAAATTTAGATGAAAACTTCAATTATTCTGTTCATGAGTTTATTAATTAATTATAGGTTATCAGAACTTGAAAATGGTTCCAAATACTGCACATCCATACAATAGTCTTCATTGGAAGGGGAAGACGAAGAAGACGCAGTATTTATGATAAACCTTTCCTCCTGCATCTCAGTTAATGATCTTGTTCTATGAACTAATTTTCATTTTTTATGTTGACAAGATTTTTGCCATTCATCGATCCCTATTTGAGAGAGCTTCTACTATTAAAGATTTTATGTCACTTGCAGGTCTATTGACGTTTTATCTGCAACTTTTTGTTTCATTATTCCCCTGATTTATTCTATGGGGTTTAACGTACAATGATATGGTGGGAGCCTCAAGACTTCGTGGCCGTACGATTTTAAAATCTCATCTATCTCATATGTAGGTTCAGACTTATGATTTTTCACTGCTTTCAGTAATTGATATTTACGACAATTATCGTCGTAAATGATATTGTATGATTGAAGCTATGAGCCAACAAAATGGTACTTGGACAGTCCATGACAATTAGAGAAGATTTTGTAAGGTTGGGTATCAACGTCTCCGTAACCCATTTTGTAAAGTTATCCTTATTCATATCATATCATTCATATCATATAGGTACTGTTCGACCTATACACCAAACAACAGTTTGGCACAAAACCATTTTCTCCACAAGCATGTACAATGATCCATCTAGGCCCTACCGAAATACTTTTAGATGGGCCTGCAATATCTTTATTTTGCCAGCATTTGTCACTGAACATGAACCGTGTATGTAGGTTTCATCTAAATAAACTACATCTAGCTTATCATCGGCTTCCAAATACTTGAATCTTTATGTCATGTCGTTCCATTAAAATAGTCCTTTTTGATTGGCACTTCACGAATTCGAATCCGATATCTTTCAAAGTAAGTCTGAAGACAAAATAAGATTGTTATTTTTAAATTACTATGTTTTTAGATTATATTCAAACCGAGAGAAAATGAAATTAATTTTTGTTACCTTAATGATTCTCTTCCTCCATTGAAATTGATTTCCTCCCGAAGAATTTGTAGCAATTTCATGATAGTGGGTATTTGTTGTCGTAGAGTGTAAAACTCATTTATCTTGTTTCTGATCAATTGTAAATCAATACTATCCAATTTAATTTATTTTTGCCACCTTTCATCTTTTTACCGGGCGTACTATATACGCCTTTGTTAGATCTGCCTTCATCAACAATTCGTCTTATGGTAGTATTAGAAACCCCTGAAATAAAACAAAGTTTAGTATATACATACTATATAATACACACGAAAAATGCAATTAACCATCAGGCCGTGTCATTCCAACTAACCAGTCAAGGCTTGCACACGCGCACACTTGTTTGTTCTGCACCTTGTTCATCAAGTATTCTTTGATGAACATTTAAAACAATAATATATACTTACCACCATTGTACATACCATATTCTGACAAATTAATATATTATTATTATTATTATTAATATTTCTTGCTTGCGATCGAAGAGGTTTCTTCGACATTTTCGCCACTTTTCAAAAGAAATTTGAAATCAAACCAAATAAAATTCCTCGAAATTTCAGTTGACAGACATATTTTTTTTCCATCAGATTCTGGTAGACCTATATAGAGTGTGCAAAAAGTTCCATTTTAAGAATATTAATTTTAGAAAAAAGCAACTAAATAAAATAGCCTATAAATAATTTATCAATTTCAATGTAAATCTGAATATTGAACACAAATGTAACTATTTGTGTTCATTATTCAGATTTACATTGAAATGAATGAATTGAAATTGAATTTATAATTATAACTTAAAGGTAAAAGAAGGAAAGTAGTAAAAATGTAACAAAATATTTTGAATTAAGATGAAAAGCACGGATCGGTGGAAATATAAAATATACCTATCAATCAAAAGTATGATATACATACAAACAGACACTCCAATTTTATTTATATGTACATAAAGATGTATAAATAACGCTTACCTTTATTAATCCGTTGAGCAACAATACAGAAAATGCGAAATATATCAAGCTCAACATCAGGCTTACACCTAAAATTATGTTTCTATAAATATACAGCTGGTATAACCTTGCAGCTTCGTGTGTATTCTGGTAAACGTTGTTCACAATATTGTAATCAGTGCGATGTAGAGCTTGATAATAATGAATTTCATACCATACCAGGGCTGCAATAATACCGATGGCGAGTATAGAATTGATAATCTGTAAAAAATAAATGTTGTGAGTCTTCTATTCTACATTATAGATAAGGTAGTTTTACCTACTACAACCTGTGTACTCCTGACAGAAACTAACTCCGAACAATTGCCATTTCATTGGTCCGATTAGTATTAAATAATATGCAATACACTGATAGTGTATAATAATAAATATGTACTATATAGATAGATAGATAGATATGTATTAATTAGATATTTTATGGTTAAAGAAAGGGGAGGGTATCCGTTGTAAAGTGGACTAATGAACGCGGTGCCCCCTGGAAAACATCATGATACATTCCTGGTGAATTTGCCACGATGAGTTAACTGACTTGACCTCATGCTCATCTTCTTTTTTTACACAGGTTTTCCCGCCAGCGTAAATCTTTATCGAGCAGGCTAATGGTCCATTCCATTTTCATTAATTAAAAAAACAAACACTGTAATCAATTTATTAGGTTCGGTCTTAAAAAATCAATCATCGTCTTAAAAAAAAATCGTAGAAATAAAATTAAATTGGATTGAAATTGACAATTAAGTTAGACTTCAGTATATAATAATATATCCAGCGGGTACGGGATTCTTGGGTTTTGATACCAAGTCAACATCCTCGTACAATTTTGTACGAGATTTTTATAAGTAGTTATTTATTTAGAATCTTCTATAGTTCTTCATTTGGTACGTTTTTTTAAATAAATTACGGTATTCGCATAGAAATAACTGTGAAACAAGTGTAAGTTAGATTTCATTTCTGTTGTTTCTTGAATTGATTGACGTGGATTTTATGTTCTTTCTGACAGTGAATGCATTGAACAAAATCGCGCAAAACCTTATTAAGTTAATATGATGACTATGAACTGGCAAGATACTCAATTAAATGTCTTATTTTTTTAAAAGCCTGTTTATTTACAAGGTTTACTCATATAGGTGTTATATATAATAATAATATATATATTATTATTATTATTATATCTAACATTAAATGATAATCCCGTGCATGAACGACTATTGCCATGCATGCTCGTCATTCAAGTAATCGTTTAGTGAGTAATAGGCTTTGCTCAGTAATATGATGTTTAGATGTTTGTATTTACTTAGAACAACATATATTTAAAAGTAACGCAAGTTTCTTGTTCATTCATCTTGTGATGAGTCCGCGTTCCGAATATGACTATTATATAAAAGTGCTTATATTAAGTTTATTTGAATAATGATATGTCCATACCGTCCGACCCTCAGTCAAAATATGACATTATTTGCGGTTGAAGAGTTTCTAATTGAATTTGGCTCCATACCTACTTTATGTAATGCAATCACAGCGATTCGGTTCTCATTATCCATACACCATTTTAAAATCACAAAAATATTTAACAACCGATTAGCGCGAAATTGAGAAAATACAATTAATACCTATTTTAAAACAACGACAGATTCAAATTCAATTTCAAATGTAATATTTTGTTATTGTAACAGTATTTATGGATAGACTATGTATACTTACGTGTTTTTTTTTTAATTTCTTTGTACAATGTTAAAAGTTTTAAGAGTGGCAATACTTAGAACGTGTTTATACTTAGTCGTCTGCGTACATACCTCTGTCCGAACTGTTTCAGTCTACAAACAGCTTGCTTTGTAAGCAGTGTTTAGGTTCGGAATGTGAGTGAAGTTACAGAGTATGGGGTTTATGAGGCACCGCTGGCGTCTTTTTCACACGTATCACACACGCAATCGCATTTACGCTTACACACTACACACTTGGTTTCGGCTTGTAAGTGCGCTACAAAACGTAAATGTTTTTTTTCTAAATTATACTAACCATATTGATAACAGCGAATATCATAGATCCAGTCTCTACCTTCATAAAGTAGCAACATTTTCCGGCGTAACACATTGTGGATCTGGGAACGAGAATGAACATTAGTAAGTACCTATAGTAAGTACCTACGATCCGGTCGACTCCCGTACAGGGTGTCTAATAAATAAAACACCGTCATCAAGTGATCTTGCTACAAAATACTAAAAATCGAAATGAACTTTAAAGTTACCAAGCATAAGGTCTATATTAAGGTAGCGGTTTAGCATACCGCCTTAGTTCCGATGATCGCGGGTTCGATTCCTCGCACGGTTTTTCCTTTTCAGCACTCTTAACCATTTCGCACCAAACTCCTGCTACGTCAGTCCAATCCATCCATCAATCAACTTGTCAATGTCACAAAGAGGCTCTGGCCTCTGTCATTCCGTTTCAGGTTACTCTGAGTGCCTTAGATAAAGGAACATGATAATTGATTTACCATTTTCAATTAATGGTGCCTCACACGATAATTAACATTATGAGTATGATTGTTAGTTTTCGTGTTTTCTATATACATTATGTACATAGGTATACATATACAGTGGTGCTCGAAATTCGATCATAATTAATTTAAATTACAAGTTTGAACATTATTAAGTTATATTGTGATAACATGTAGGGTTTTTGGGTAAAACAGCATCTAAGTTGAATGTAATTTTATTTGATATATGTCTACAAAAGCAATCTTATAGGAATAATAGAAGACAGGAAACAAAGCAATATCGTTGACGCATAATTTTCCATTGAGTGTACCGTGCCAGTACTAACATAACAGCATATAGAACTTAGATTACATTGGTAACAGCACAGAAACAAGCGTGGCTTTGCTGATTTGCTAATTAACAATATTATATATAATTTGACATCGACCTTTTCTTATGTGTCGTGTAATATACCTTGTTGTGGACTTCATACTGTATTGTTGGCCAGTTAAAAGCCACTTTTTTACTATAAAAAGTATGCATATAATTTGAGTTGTTAATTTGACATGAAAAAAAAGATACGATTTTATTTTACTCTTTTTTGCATCGATTTATTTTACATAGTTATAGAGTAGATGCAATACCTTTCTGCAAACAAAGAACCGACATACAAATATATAATACATACAAAATTATCCACCACATACCTGTTGTATATGTAGGTTCGTAACGGAAAAATATAACAGTACCTTATTAATGTGTATTTAAAAGTAAAATAAAGATTGATTTTGATATGGTAATACTGCACGTCATCTGTCAAGTGGTATTACGTGTGTTTGTTGGGATTTGTTGTTTTTAAGAAATCTTCCACGAAAGTGAAATAATTCAGAAAGCATTGTTTAAAATGTGTATCGAAAGATCTTTGAAGAAGGTGCAGGTCAAACCACAGATAACATAATATTACATACAGATACCCCATCCCATACAAGAAAATGCTTCCTTCCTGACTCGGGCCATTCTTCGGGCTATTTTATTTCGCCGCCGTAGCCGCTAGATGACTCTAGATCTGAAGCAGTTCGCATTACTAGTGGGTGCTTAGTAACAAAGCACGAAAATAGATGGCAGTCAATTCAGTCTACATGACATCTGTTTTGCAAAGATAGGTTTATAATAGATATGTAGGTAACTGCAGATATGGCTTATGTGCCAATGTATATATTATGTTGTAGTTTATTTTACATTCCATGCCTATTTTTTTCTTTCGACGAAGATATTATGTTGTAACGCGTTTGCGCTATATGTATAGCCCGATTTTGCTACGTTTATACTCGTACGTAGCAAAATCGGGCTATACGATTATTTCAATCGTTATGTGTAATAGACTGATTTTAGCTACAATTAATTTACTGATATACCTATACCTCCTGTATTCTACGATGTACCCCTCTTTTCCCTAATGAGAATTCCGCTATATCTTATATATAAATTTCATATCACAGTGTTAGTTGCCATATTTCTCCCACATTTCGATGAAATTTGATATGTATACTTGCTAGGTCTGAGGTAGGGTTGTTATCTATTTTTTATACCCCTAAGTCATAGGGGTGGCCTACCCTGAATTTTTTTTTTGTATTTTGGACTATTTTTTATTTATTTATAATGTTACATTAAAAATACATACACGAACCAACCCCTATTTTTAATAGCGATATTCTTACAAATATTATAAATGCTAAAGTAACTCAGTCTGTCTGTTTGTCTCGCTTTCAAGCCAAAACTACTGAACTTATTTAATTGAAATTTGGTACACAGATAATGTAGACCGTGAGAAAGGCTACTTTTTAATGCGAAAAAGGGTTGAAAGGGGAAATGAAAGGCTATATGAAAATATCGTCATTTTTAATGTCAGATCTTGTAAGCTAAAGCTTTAATTTATAATCTTATAATTTATTTAATAATATTTTTTAGGCTGCTGACTAAATATAAACAAATATGACATTCTAAGTTTGTAAAATTTTATCCTTAAGAGGGTAAAATGAAATATAAGATGAAGGTTGAAGATGATGAAGAAATTCGTCATTTTCAAAACTAGTACGATCAAACTTTTTTCTTTGGATTTTTTTCGAGTCCAAACGGACGAAGTCGCGGGTACAGCTAGTTAATTTATAAGGCAAAACAAGGTTTGCCGGGTCAGTTAATTTATATCAATAATGAAATGAAATTCGGTTTCAAAAGAAGGAATATTAATTAAGCTTAATAACTTCAATCCTAGATGAAGTGAACAGGGTCGGTCTAGGTTTTTCATTACTATTATAGAAATGTGTAACGGGGGAACACGTTACTCAGTACGAAATTGTGTATATTACAATAAAACACTCATTGCCTCAAAGTTCGCGACTAATGGACGGTATAGTAGTAATACTATACCGTCCATTAGTCGCGAACTTTCTGGAAGCGCGAGAGGGCGCGCTCCTATTGGTCGGTCGGTGCGGTTACCGCACGACGCGCATGCGCTGTACGCTTAGATGAGTCTCACGGCGCGGGCGTAAGTACTTACTATGTAATATGTATACATATGGGTGTCACAAATGTTTTTATTACAAGTAATATTACTTTATTATCTAAGCCAGTAATGTGTGCTTATTTTGAACTTGATAACATTCAGAATTACTTGTATAACTTTCGATATCTACAATAATAATATCTATCTATATCTTTAGCGGTGTTAAATTACCAGGTTATGTACTAGTATTGTTAGTGAGGGATAAAGTTGATGAACAAAAATAAAACAATATTCGTATTAAAAATATATTTCTCTAATATTTTTGCCATTGTTTTTAAGTATATTCCAAATACAAGAATTTTGTTTTGTACTGTGCTATTATCCAGACATAATTTCACTCTTTTCTAAAATATCTCTAATAGGTTGATAGGTATCACTAATAGGTAAGTAGGTAATAGGTAGGCCCTAATCATGCCACAAGCTCGTAGAAAAATACGACTAATTAAACACCACTCTTGAATAAACTGCATTATTTTATACATTAAGTGTAAAATATTTTTAGTTTAAATATAAATTAATATAACATTCAAAGTTTGTTACGTTGCCTTTATATATAATCCGGTCCCCCTTGTGACATGGTCTATTATTTATTATTGAATATTTTTTTGACAATCTTCGCTAATCCATGATTGTTTGAACTTGTACGCATCATGACTTTTGTACTCGACGCGTAGGGTATTGTTTTGATTATGATTGCTTAGTTTGAATTTGACTGCTTACATGTGAAGATAGCCGTGCAGTATAGCATGTGTTCATTGTTTACTATTTATTCACACGTATACGTATCAGCTCAGAAGCGAAAACACAAAACACTGAGAATTAAAGAAAAATGTGATTTTAGACCGCCTAAATCGTAACGAATCTTTTAGTAGTTTTTTACTTTTAGTAGAATCGTATCACTGGATCTGTTATTTGTCGGATTACAAGGTTCTCTTTTTTAAAAAAATCTGAATTACAGGGTATCGCTTAGGCCCCCTCTATATTCCGACAAATTCGATTGTCCGACACTGCCCTGCAAAACGTTTGGTGTATAACCGGGGCTCCACTGTACTTAGTACCAGTCTCGTGTCGTGAAGATCGAAATATGTATCTGAGAGTAACTAAAAAAATTGTTATATTAGTAAGTAACGCATCAATTGGCCATTTCGCCCTGTAGTCGGCTTTTTCTAAGCACGACGATATGTAAATAAGTAGCTCGGTAGTTCGATCAATTGTGATTATTCAGAATGCATTTTTATAAATAAATTTGGTGCAAATCAAGAGCAAATAGACTTACCGCAAAGTTCCAATCCAGTTATGATACCGAATAGTCTTCAAAATTAAACAACTTCAAGAGCAGCGCAACGCAGCGTGCGGAGATGTGATATTCAATATTAGTCAAATTTCATACCTACTTGGAAATAAGTGTTGCCAACGAAAATTGTGCAAGTCCACTAGGTGCAACCGTGCAAAGAGCAGCAATCCATCAATTCTTAAAATATGAAAACATTAAATTACACAAACATTAAATATATAAAAAAATTACGTAGTCATTTAATTTTGCTAGGTACGAACAAATATACTGAATTCTACAAATAAACTTTTTAAAAAAAACGATAACATTTACTCTTCTTTAGTACAGAAATAAAATGTGCCCACTAAAAGGGAAGGGGTGTCAAATCAACTTACATGGCAACACTACATTACAAGCGGTATAGAACTGTATATTCCATGGCTAATAATATTACCTGTAATGTTATGCAAGACTATAGAACGGACGGGTTTCGAGTGCCATCTGCACTTGCTCCCTATCGTCCGCTGAAGCTGCAAAGACCAGCTGCGGCCAACAACATTAGAATAGGCCGAAAAAAAGAGTAAAAACAAAATTTATGTTTTATTACAACTTACATACCTACATTTTGTCTCTTAAAGCACGCCAGTTGGCAAGTTAAGTCGTTGCTTTACTGTATTACTTATTATTATAATATAAATACCGTACGTATAGGTATTAATGATTATGTGTCCCAAGGCCAACCGAATGTGCCGCAAAGTACATGTGTCGAGGTTGGTCTATGATAACAAAGGAGCAGCTTTACTATCTTTTGCTCTATAAAATGTGGCTCAATTAAGGAAGTGCATATTTCTTAATAGCGATATATTTTATTAGGTGTGTCTGTGGTTTCATCCGCTTGAAGTTTTTAGCTATATGTTATTCTAACGTTACTGTAAAATTTCAACAAAATCATTTCTGCGTGAAAGAGTAACAAAACATCATATCTATACTCAATCTTTCGCATTTATAATATTAATAATAATAAGATTTATATAATTTTTTTGGTTCCTACATAAAAAATATCATGCCATTGACTATATATATTTTATTAATAAATAGGTATAATGAAATATAACCAATAACTATTATTTTTAATAGAGTCTTAATAAGCGCATTATATACAAATTAAATATTTTTTTATGATAAAGGTTAAATTTTTCTGATCAATATCTTTCTATCTCCAAACCAATACTTTTTATTTTAAACTATAACACTCAGATTATAGTATACATTATATATCCAATTAACGCAATAGACAGTGATAAGCGCCGTCTAGTTTAATTTACAGAAAGCGAAGAGTAATAAACAGCAATCCATACTAATAAACTTTCGCATTTATAATATGAATAATAATAATGACATTAAGATTACTTGTTATACCTTTAAAACATTTTGATTTTGTAGATAAACCTTGAATACTAAAAGTTTGCCGAATAGAGGCCTCATAGTTCCAACGAGCAGGTGTATTGAGAGGCTACCTTAATTGTTTATGGTCTACACCTTTCGCTTTCGCTACGGATTATTTTGGACTCTTTGGTGGATAGTGAGTAATAGATTAATATAATCATCATAACAATAAGCAATCATGGAATTCTTTCGATTTTAGGTCCGTGTGTGTACTTACGCTTTTAACGCAGATCGACGTGTATCTGTCTGATTAGATTTGAAAAAAAATACAAACAGGATGAATTAACGACTTTGTAGTCATAGTATTTTTATAATAGAGTATGAAATGGTGCACGTCCCAGTGCTAATGGTATACGCATGCGGGGCACGTTTACCCTCCGAGATTTGTGTTGGTGGTAGGTAGGTGTCTCGGACCCAATATCCACGCTTCTGATCGTACAGCGTCACATGTAAAGTTGCCATCCTAGCTGATGTTTTTTGATATTGATATTTATTATTATTGAGATTATCATTCTCTTCGTCTGCTTCGTCCTGGTTAATGGTTGAAATAAGTGCCCAGACTACTTATTACAAATTTAGGTTAGGAAAAAGTTCTTGTAACTTGTTCTTAAAGCCGCTCCTTGTAAGTTTTTATATATTTATATGTGAGAGGAAGTTAGATAAAGAAGTGTTATCAATAATAATATGTATGCGAACGTAGTCGTTAAATAGAATTGGTTTTTGTTGCGTCATTCTGTCGGTGGTGTAGAATTCTCAAGTAGCTACCTACCTACTTGAGAATTCTTACTCTAGAGATGTACTTAGATATATAGGAACATTTGAAACTAACTAACTAAAAATAGCAAATAATTTTATAAAAGATGGTGTTCTGAGGTAACAAATATAAAAAAAACATAGAACAAACTTATACAATAGAACGACTAAAAAGTTCTCTTTTGAGGTCGCTTAAAAATGGTAGGTACGCAAAGAAAACAATGCCAGCAGTTTCAATAATACACGTTTATTCTCACATCGTCAAACAGAAATTTAGTAAATCACCAAAATATAATTAAATGAGATTAGGCCAACGCATATTAGTCCTCTGGTTTTCGTTAGGCCTGTATTAACAAACAAAAAAAACAAAAAACAATAGAATTGTGTACCGCAAAGTTTTATACAAACAACCAATTAATTATAAACAAAAATAATAAATACCTACATTACAAATTATCGTTTGATTTACAAAGTAAAAATTGCTTAAACAAAATAAGGGGCCATTCATAAATTAGGTCACAATAATTTGATTCTGCTACTCTACCTCTTTGTTACAGTTGGTCACACTTTTACAGTTAATATTTCGTTGTTTAATACTAAAATTGGAATGTGACATCACAAAATTTAGGATTCTTTCTATATCTTTAGGGATCCTAGATTTCCTGATTTGTTTACACATAGTTGTGTCTCCTTGAATTCTTTTTACAATGTCACACTTTGTCCCCCTTTAACGTGTGACATAATATATGGATGGCTCCAAAAAAGATCGTTCATTCTAATGTAAAATATACATTGCAAATATTTCTATACACATTTATATCAACAGTTTAGTGTTACGCCAAAAAGTGCAATCGACAATGTCACCTTATTTTATAAATACATATTTATTAATAACAGTCTATGAGGTTTTAGAAAATACGAAATTGTAGACCGAGCTTTATTATTACACAACACAATAAATAAGATGTAATACAATAGCTACCAATCCTCAAAACATATTAGATTTGACATTTTGACGATTTTAACTATTTCACTGTTGTCATTGCAATAGTCAAATTATTAAAATCAGTTTGTATAAAAATAATGTATCATACACAATATTCAAGAATAACACGCAATATAATCTTGGTAAATACACGTTATAATGCTTGTTTGCCACCATCATAGTATAAAAAAGTAGGTAATATTTATACATTAGTTGAATACACAATTACACATTATATACATTACTTGAAACACAATAACACCCCAATGTTAGAAGGATTGTCTTATATGAATTATGATTTTTATTATCATTAGAAAAATTATAGCAAAGAGATGTTCGATTATCAAACTTCAGTCTACAATTTCCTTTTCAAGTTCTCATGACTGTTTGCCCGATAGATTGGCCATGGATTTGGTCAAACAATGAGGGATTAGCTCCTATAATCTATATACTACAATACCTACATTTGTTTTTATTTGTTCCCGATAGAACTGCGGTTTCATCAGCAATATGTACGTTATTGTACCTTGTCACTATAACAATTTATTGGTATTTGGTAAAAATGTTTGGTTGTGGCAATAATATTAGTGTGACATAGTACTACTGTAGTGTTGAACTTCTTATTCAATACTACTTTAGTCCCTGTTTAACACTCATTAATGATTTGGCGCGAATAAACCACTTGTATCTGTTAGAAGTTTTAGAATAGTAGCGTGGTAATAAAAAAATAGTATCTTTGTGTCGAATCATGCGCTTGGAATGAATCCTGCAAACTTCCGTTTACTAATCATAAAAGAAGTAATTTAGTAATGTAGGTCAAGCTGATGATTAATTAGTGGAATATTGGAATTGTTATGTTTTATGATTTCCAATTGCTCCTATAGGTTGAGTTTTAAACCTTTATCGCATGTTTGTAAAATTTCAAATTTGGTTGGAGTACTTATCTTATGTCCAGTGTCTATAAGGTGCTTTGCGAAATGCGATCTATCTGGGTTATTGTTTCTGAACGCCGATAGATGTTCTTTTAAAGTAGATTCGAAACTACGACCCGTTTGGCCTATGTATATATACACTATCGCAACTTCCGCATGATAATTTATAGACTTCGGATTTCTTGTTATTATCTATTTTTTCTTTTCAATTACAAAGACATCTTAATGAGTCTGACGTTTTAACATCTACATTCGTGAAAAATAGTATCTAACGTCCATATTACAGCATTACACAGTCGGGAAGAAACAATGGGTTAAACAATCAGCTATCGCAATTATGTAGTAGTAAACGTTGTATGTAGTGTTAGTAACACATTGGAATACTTAATCGAAAATAATATTTTATGTAAACCAAACCTATGTATATCATTTAAAAATTGAGTTTGAGAATTACTAATTACCAATACATTTTATTGTAACAAGTTCTTATTTCTGAATTTCGTATATTGAAAATCAAATTCAGCATACCACAAACATCTATTCCCGTTGTAGAATACTTTTTTCCTGTTCAAACGTATATAAAATGAGTTAGATTAAGCCAATATTTGCAGTTCTTTACAATTAGTTGTTCTAGTTCCGCCTGGCATATACAAATGTTGCCTTTCACTTGTTATCTTGATACCGCTACCACGAAAAATAAATTTTATCACATTTATGTACATCTTGAAATTAAGGAAATACAAGTCGTTAAAATACATTCTTTGTAATATGAAAGTGCGTAATTGATCACATTATAAGCTTGGTAACGTAGTATAAAAATATTATATAAATGAAAACTATCCACAAACATCTATTCCCGTTGTAGAATACTTTTTTCCTGTTCAAACGTATATAAAATGAGTTAGATTAAGCCAATATTTGCAGTTCTTTACAATTAGTTGTTCTAGTTCCGCCTGGCATATACAAATGTTGCCTTTCACTTGTTATCTTGATACCGCTACCACGAAAAATAAATTTTATCACATTTATGTACATCTTGAAATTAAGGAAATACAAGTCGTTAAAATACATTCTTTGTAATATGAAAGTGCGTAATTGATCACATTATAAGCTTGGTAACGTAGTATAAAAATATTATATAAATGAAAACTATCCACGCTAATCAATATATAAATCGAGTATAAATAAGTTATTTATGCTCGCCATCGACGTATACCTAAGTATATAATACATTGAATATTCTAGAGAATATAAAAGGATAAATATAGAAGATAAAATGTCTATGAATAAACTTAGTATAGTTGAAACATCACTGAAGATAAACGAAAAGTATAAATTTACATTAATTCTGAATTAATCGATCTGATTTTGATTATACATTAACAACCTAGTGATTTAGAACCTGTGAACATTTCTATATATATAAATCTAGACCCACTGATAACGTCTACAGCACAAAATTGTTGCGATTCATTCTATATACATCTAGAAAGTTAGTATATTCGTTGGTGACTTTATAATAATATCAGTCGATTTATATATCCTCCTACATGAAACAAAACATTAAAGATATAGTACAGTTAGGCTATCACGTCGCAAAACTCATCTAGTGTAATCAGCAATATCTTTCTAATGCGTCAGTCGACAATTTGCACAATAGTTAAGCGACAACTAAAAGTCAATAAGATAGTAATACAAAGTAGTTGTAGGTTTGAGCAGTTCATTGAAATCTTCATCTTTGGATATTAAACTACAACCCGTGATGTTTTTTGTGATGATGAAATCTTTGGAGGGATTTATATTTTGAAACTTAAATATGCACGACATAATTCTATAGTAGTATAAAATATCGATCTATGTTGGAAACAGAATGTATATGAGATTCATTCAATCAGACACAATTGTGAGTACCAAACAGAAACCATTCGGTCTAAAATAGCTATTGGACAACATCGTCAAATAAATAGACACCAATATCTTTAGAAATCACTTTAACGGTAACTTCAAATCTAATAAAAACTCAAGTTACTTTTGCAATAAACAGGGTTTAAAAAACATACGTAGGACGTTTTTATCGTTGGGGTCATATTATTTTAGGCCTGTGCATATGAGGTAATTTCTTCTCGATTTTTACATGTAACACTACAACCTAAAAAAACAGCTAATGTAATCTTTATAAATATTGTATGGAGGAGTATACGGGGCTAAATTTCTCTAATTAGAAAATAACCATAGAACATATCACATGATACGTAAAAAAACAATTGATCTCAACTTCAAATCTGTTGAAAAGCACAGTCATTTCTATAGCACAAAAAGCTCCCAAATGATTGTACTTGTTCCATGTCTATGTACTGCCTCAATACATTGCATATTATCGAATCTGAACTATTGTTTTAACAATTATACGCATTACAAATACAATGTTCATTATAAAAATCAAACTAAGATACTAGTAGCATCACATATTTGCTTATCTATTTTTTACATATACATACTGAAATGAACTTTGTAGTGCAAAATATTGTTACTACTACAACTATTACTGGTTCCTACATAGCATTTATTATACCCTGCACATATGCATACATAGCTACATACAAAATTGGCGTTCAGACTGCATAAAAACATCCACACGAAGTCACATTAGTCTACCCATAAATTACGTTACACGAATTTCATTATTTCCCCGCTACTCGTCTGTGTAACATATTTTGCATATTTTATTAATATAGTAATAAAAGGATTTAAATTATTCTTTAATAATTCAAATATTGTTTAATATTTTTTTTAATTTATTACGATATATTAAATTGTGAAATGTGACGTCACGTTAGACCCTCTCCTATATCTTGTCACACTTTGTAGACCCTTCATAACATGTGACGTAATTCATGGATGGCGTCTTACGTATAATATAAAAAGCCGCACAGAACCCCTAAATTAGCAACCGTTGCAGTATTAAGGCTGAAAAAATAAATTACGTAACTAACAAACTATTACGGACCGATTAGATTGACCGTCAGTCGCTACGAAATATGAGGTATATTTATAATTAATCAAACTTTTACTAGTACGAACAGTATTCGTGGAATGGTAAACTGTTTTACGAAACTTTCGATCCTATATCATATAAAATAATCGAACATAATGACCACATTCCCTTTTAAATGTCAATAGACATTAAAAATTGTATTGTAAAACAGAGTCTTCGTCCAATACATTTGCGTAATTAACTCAGACATGATTATTCCGAGAGGAACATTGCAGTGAGAACATGTAATGTAACATATTTGGTATTACTTAATGTTACATGTTTATTTTTCCTTTATCCTTTGTCAGGTGAGGACAGCGTGTGAATACTTATCATTTTTATCGTACCTTTCATACAGTCCATGATTCATTGTCCTATCCCTATAACCATTTCTAAAACATTATTTCCATTCCTGCCGAGACAAACGATCGCTTTTAATTTGCTACATGTTACATTACGCGCTCATGTAATATATTACATTACACGCCCACGGTCAATACGCATCATAGCGGAACTAAATGCAAATATCTTTCGCAGTATCAGTCACGAGTAGATCCCGGGCATACCTGGCGCTGGATCACGCGACGGCTCCGTCTTGGGCGAGGACGCGCTTCTTATCGCGGTGATGGTCGGGCGTGGACTTGAGGAGATCCGGCGGTCCGTGCGAGCTGAGCGTGAGCGTGGCGGCGGAGTTGAGCGTGTTGTGTCCGGTGGTGTGGTGCGAGTGGTGGTGGTGGTGGTGGTGGTGCGCGGCGGTGTGCGGCAGCGTGGACGGCGACGAGTGCGGCGGCGGCGCGCGCAGCGAGCGGTGGCTGCCGTGCCGGGTGAGGGAGTTCATCTGCGGGGTTCCTCCGCCGGGACGTAAAAGCGCGTTCTTGTAGTCCGCTATTAGATGCGTTAGCTCCGCCATCTGACGATAATTAACACAGCGTTATGACAGAAATAAAAAAAATATTCTAAGGGATCAAATGCTGATGATGAAGGACCGATGCTGCAAATGGAAACACAAATAACAAGAAAACCTCTAAAAAGTATTCAAAAGACTAACCGAAGCATAGATTTTAGAAAACGCCAACACCTCAGTTTCGAGTAGTCCTTCAGAATGCATGAGTGGCATCATGGATATCACAGGAAAAAATAGCACATATATAAAAGACTTGCAAAAAAAACCCCCATGGCACACATGTTTACTACATCTGGCATTAATTTTCTCAATCAATTAAAGAATATCAGTTCTAATATAACACATTAGCCCATTATATTTTCCCTTTATATAAAGTCAATTTCTGTATAGAAATACTCAGTAGTAGAAATGTACTCAAATAGAAAGGGTTAGACAGTATTGTGTATAATTGTAAAATGAAACTTACTTTAGGTTTGTTGAGACTAATTAACATCTTGTGTACAGGACTGGTCGCGTCGTCGCCGTCTATTAGCATCATGAGATCATCCTATAATTAAAATAACTTAATTTAATTACAATTCTCCATAATCATCCTAAAATTCTTGCATATTTCTATAGAAAATTCAACAATCCTTTTACATGTATATTTTGTACATATACAATATGTACATAAATTTATATGTAATCGTCTCTCAAGAATACGTAAAGAATTTAATAGGCACCTATAAATTTGTTTCTGGATATACTAGAATCCTTTTAAATAGACACACGTTGTAATACATAGTTTCTCTTAAGTATTTTATAAATAAAAAATTAAAATATTAAGTCATAATGCTCTTAACAACTAACCTGCAGACCGCCGAAAAGTCCGATGGAGTTCAGTGCGTATCGGCCGATAACGGACATGGACGCTAACTCCAGCACAGTGACGCCCTCTTCCGACACCGCTAGCCATACCATTGATAAATCGGGTTGTTTTATCTAGAAAAAAAAAAGTATAGACATCATTGAAAAACGGTATCTTTAAGTTACATAAAGATACCAAAAATAAGATAAAATAATTATTTACTAAGTAAAATGTTTATCCAGATGAAGAGAGGAATCATCTTAAAAGTATTCACATGCCTGAACATATATTGATAAATTAACGCTAAGAAGCATCTCAGGTCATGTCAGTGTTAAAACAAAATAATTTAATCAAAATTGAACCATTACTTCTAGCCAATGGTAAGATTGTCATATAATTAAAACTCAGGGGACGGTCAGTATTCTTTCAAAGAAGTTTCCTCCCGCGCACACTCATATTGTGGAGGTTCATCTGCCGAGGTTCTCTTTAGAGACTACAGTAAGGGATTACTGTACAGACATATACGTTAAATTACAAGTAGTATCTAATACAGATTATTTAAAATAATGTGTAGCATACACATAATTTAAACAAAATTTAACACATTATTTAAAACAGCAACACAAAACGGCAACGCGCGTGTCACCCGTTGTATTTTATACATTCCTGGTGTTCAGATGGGCTGTATTCTTGTTTGCCATCACTGTGGTTCAAAAACTATCTGGCTGAACTACTTACTCTAGCCTGGAAGAGAGTGGCGCCGAAGAAAGGCCATTTCCTAGTGCAGTTGAGATATATTCGCACACAGTCCGCTGTGCTCCGGCCTTTTAGCGCAATCCATTTTGATCGTAACTTTTCTTCTACATCTCTGTAAAAGAATAATTAACAGCATATTCACATAGATACAAATAACAGATTTTTTTATTGATACAGAACTAAATAGTGAAATAATATAATATTTTATGGAATATTTTACTCTATTACCTCATTCATCACCACCACTATTAGCATAGACGGGGTAATCAGAGGGTATTATGGTGAAAGTAAAACTTGACATGTACCCATTTCTCGAATTAATTTAGTTTGTGTTTGATGTATCCCTCGGCGGAAAGATATACGACGCTCTCATAAAAACAAAAATCTACAGATCTATTCTACCTATTAGTGTTTTCTCTTTTTATATCTAATTAAGAAAACAGTCGAATAATTGAATATCTGGAATAGTTTCTTTTCAATTAACATGACGTTTTTATGGATATTGTAATTGTAAGCTTAGCTTATATCTTACTAATATTATAAAAACCAAAGTTTGTGAGTATGGATGGATGTTTGTTACGCTTTCACGCAAAAACTACTGAACGCATTTTGATAAAACTTTACAGTAATATATATTATTAATTAGAATAACATATAGACTATAAATTTCACGCTAGCTAATGTAAGTATATATTAGGAGAGTGCACTCACCTCAGCTCTTCGTTACTCAAACCGGCTCTATACCTGTAAGGATAGAACCTGTGTGCTAGAGGTTGGTTGTGTTGCGAGTTGCTGGCGGCGTAGTCTCCCATATCTAATTGCGCCATAAGTGCGCCTAACTCAGCCGCCAATTCGCGCGTCACTGGAAACCTACCCGCCACCACTGTGAAACGAGTAGCGATAAGATAAAATGGTTCGGGACCGAAATGAAAAAATATAAGTTAATTCGAAAAGTGAATACAACAGTTACATTTTTAAATATAATTAATACTAGTTGTATGGCGCGGCTATATGATTGTCTATAAGAATTGAAATCGATTCTAATATAGAATAAGATCTAGATATCTGTTCATACTTAAGCGTGATACTCACATTTACAGAATGCTATGTTTACAATATATTATAATATATATTATAGCATCACATTCAAAAGTTCACGTTGAAACTTTACTGTAGTACAGCTTATAAATCAGAATAACACATAGGTTATAATTTAAGAAGATATTATGTAAATTGGGCGAAATATAATTATAAATGTGAAGTAAGTGCGATGGAGACGAAGTTGCGCAGGTCTGCTAGTAAAATATAAATCTTACCTTGTTGATTTACTTGGTAGCAAAGCAGTAATCTCTCCTTATCTGTTTCGGTTCGTACAGAATTTTTAAAGTATAACCTATTTCTATATGTAAGTCGGATCACTCTCGAGTTCTCGAACTTTCCAGATCCCTTTTCTCTAAGTGCCGTCTCCCATTTCGATATTACGTCGCACAGCTGAAATAATATGTAAAATGTAAATATTAATACACATTTTGTAAGTATAGCGATGACGCAATAATTTTACATTGTTAATATGTTATAGGTGATGGTTACTTAACATCTTACACCTAATTTTCATGAACTTGTAGGTAGCGAGTTAGCTTTTCATTAAATAAGTGCACCCAAAACATGGTACTACAAAAATATTTACCTTCTATAATAATAAATATAATATTCAATGAAATAAACAAAGTTAATCTAATACATGAATGAATATAAATATATCTAAATGTTATAATAATATTATAAGTCAACATTTTTTAATTAATTAATTGATTTATTTTACAACTTACGGGAATTATATGTTTAAGTAACATATAATTCCCGTATGTTGTAAAATTAATCAGTCATGAAAGCTACCAGTAGAATCCGTTTACGAGTAAGCGAGGTGAGTCAGCCATTATTAAGCTTAACAATATCTGAGCAAATTTGATAATGACGTACGTAAAAAATATATATGTAGCTTATCCGAGTATAACATTAAAATATTATGCGGACTTTACCTTTTTATCGGGTTTAATGTGATGTTCTAAGTCTTTTTCTATAGGGTCATCACTGAACAACGCGAATCCTGATGCTGCAGATTCCCTGCATCCGAGCTCTGTACTCAATGTAGATAAGAACTCTTCGACTGTCGTGGACCCATCAAAACTTATAACCTGTTAATATTACCAAAAAAGTTAAGTGTTGACAAATATAGTATAAAATAGGATTATAGAACCACCAGTAGTAATTTTATAAAAACCAAATAACCCAGTTGAGATTGTATTTCGATCAATTCATTTCAAGTAATTCGTATTATTGGAGTTTTTTGTAAACCATATGTATATATAATTACAAAACATTTTTTTGTGTATTATTACCTGATATGTATTATTAAGCATGTGTACAGGTATAGCGTGTGGTAAACAATGATGGTACGGATTCTTAAGCAGTATGGACAGCACTTCCATTCTTGACGGCTTATCCTCGCGTCCGCCGTTGCGTATTGTACGCTCGAGAGCGCGCGAACAGTACGCCGCGTATTTACCACACTCCGTTCTGGAATATTAATAATTCTTTAAACTATTCAAATATAGAACAACAATATTTTATAAATATATAATATTTTTTATGTAACTGGAATGCTAAATAAGTTGACCGCCCACTAATGGGTAAGTGGTAACAAATGCAAATAATATACATGAATACCATCGCGGATATTATATCCTATTTTGAAATTCGTTTTCTGTTTTCTGGTTTCATGTCTGCTTACTCTGTAATTTCACTGTCATATCTCATATCCCTTTAAGCAAAACACAGTTTATAAAACTACATATTTGGCGGCGGTAGTGACTTTCTTCCGATATTAGTGTACGGTTAAGGTTTTGTTAGAAAACTAGTTTAAATTAGATGTAAAAAAACTAGTGAAATATAATATAAACTTTTATTTAGAATTGTTTATTTAATAAAATATATTATATTCTCTCTCCATACCTAGTAACTGTAAGGGATCTTTTGGAGATATATTTTATCTTATAATAGTGTCTACAAACGCATTTATTCATTACTATATTTTCTCATTTTTTTTCAAATGAAGGAATATATTTGTAATGAGATCCCAAAAAATTTAAAGTGTTAAAGAGGCTAGAGTGCAATACTTACTTTGAATCAGCGTGCCTGCTAAGATGGAGCTTCAGATACCAGAGTAGCCTGTTATTTCTTGGTACAAACAAACTGACGGCTAAAGCTAATAGCTGCCAGCCCTGAACAAAACTGTACGTGGGCGGGTTACTCTTGCAATCCACTGATAAGAGGGGTGCCTGGAAAGTTCCATTGATACGTAATAAAAGTGATTTTTAAAAATATTATGATGGATTCGTATCATGTCTATTTAATTGATTGACTTAAACTGAGACGTGACATTTAATAAATTTTGGAACGGCCATATGCATACGGAATTTAAAATGGCGCAGGTAAATTTTGCGATTTAAAATGAATCTTAATCCCTAAAATATAGATTTTTTTTATGAAGTTGTTTCAATATAAAGCAGCATTTTAAATTGTAATGGGCTTTTCATATATATTCAATCACTTAGTACCTACAGATGAGCTAAAGGGTCTGTGCGGCCCTTGTGAACCTTCCTCATAGTAATGTAATAACCTTAAAGTATAACATTTATTGGCTTCAACAATTTATTTCCTAGGTTTCATACAGACAGATCGTTCTAAAAATATAGGTAACTGCTTGTTATGTTAAAGTTGCATTCATATTGTCGGCAAAACATGGCCGGTATACCCAACCCATACGTTAATCGAATTGCGTCGTCGGCATGAGCCGTCCGACTCGTCTGTGAATGTGTGAGGGCTACTAGATATTAAGCCTGTGTACCCACTCATGTCATGCCACTGCCTTATATCATAAACTGCCTTTATACGACACATTATTTCACGCGCGACAAGATGCGCGCGCAATCATGAGTGTTTGCATTTTACTATTTTTTGTTATCACGCGTGACGTGATAAAGGTACGTTTAATGTCAAGTTACTTTCTTTTAAAATATTATTTTTTATTCCGCAGATATTTTTTTTTCAAAAACACGTTTAAGATTTATAAATTAAAATAATACCATAACTCTATAATTGTCTTTGATATGTAGTCAGATATCCTCCATTTTGAATGATAATTAATTATTAAAAAAAGACGCTAAGGCAAGCACGATTTAAGAACGCGTGAATGCGCGATCTGGCGGCACGCGCTGTCTTTCTCTCTTTGCGTGCATTTACATACACATTCATTTCTGTGTTAAAGTCGATTCCGGCGTGAAAGAGCGTATGTATAAAGGCTATACGGGCAGTTGGCATAAGTTTACCTGTATAGAGCTAGGGGATCCGGCAGCGTTGGGCTGTAGGTCACCACTCTTGTTGTCACCGCCGACGGACGAGGCGCCCGTGTCACAAGTGAACAGCGATTGTGTCGCGCACAGTAGCAGTTGCTGAACAAATGAAATGTTGGTGTTCCGTGTACGGGGGCCTTTAGTCTACGGGGGGCCTATGGTGTGGTATGTTTACTGGGGTGGGAGTTGATTTCCGTCTTTGTATTTATAGTACAAACATGTAGTTGTAGCGTCACTGGTGTAGAGTTTCTTAGTCTTAATGGTATGTAGAGATATGATTTAATGTTTATGTAGTCATTTACGTGTAGTATCTGTTTTTAACCGACTTCAAAAAAGGAGGTTCTAAATTCAATTGTATTTTTTTTTATAATATATTAAGATTATTTGAAGATTTCACAACTAACTAAGTTATAATTATATTATTTTGTAAATATTTTAATTTATTGTATTGATTTTCAATTGCGTTCGGATAGACGTTATAAGTTTAGAAGAGTCATTCCTTTTAATACTTAACAAAATAAAACTGATTTAAGTAATTTACTGTACAATTAGGCTTATAATTACTATATTTTACACAAGAAAGTATATTTATTTTATATATTTGTGTGTTTCATTTACAATTTTAAAATAATTGAGTTTTCTGGATATGCCGAAGAATATATTACCAGAAATACCGAAATGATAAAAAAATATAGTACGAAAGGAATAACATGGCTAGACCTAGTATGTAGCCAGAAGAAACCAATGGTCACCGGAAACCATCCGTATTAAGTTTCTCATACTCTCATACGAAAAGAACTCATACTTATCTTATCATCGTCCACTGGTACTGTAAACCGTTGGCGCAGGCGGGTGCACCATTCCATTATAATCAATTACATAAAAAGATTAATGAATTTATAGGTAATTGTGACTCAGTGTTTGTGTTATTTTAACGTTTTATAAGAACCATTATTGTACGGCTTAGAACAGATAGGAATTCATTTTATGTATATTCTACCGTAGAATATTTATTGTAATTAGATGAACACTACACTAATATTAACTTTTTTTATTCATTCTTGAAAATGTAGGTATGTTGTTCATAAATATATACTGTGGATAAATCGTTAGCTTTTTTTTTTGATAACTGTGATAGTTATTTTTATGTTATGTTATTTTGACTACTGTGGTAGTAGATTAGTATATAACATTATATAATTGACTGAAGAGATATTTTGTGTGATAAATCCAATTATATTTCTTGAGTAAATTATGTTTAATTAACTTTACAATATAATTCAGCTGTGAAAGGTAATTTTTATTTCGAAATTGTTATAATATTTATATATCTAGTAATCATATAGTACAAGAATTACTTAGTTTGAAACTAGATGGCACTGTATGGGTTGTGCCACGTTATTTATACTGTAACCATTCTTTATACACTGATTTATCCCGTTTGATAAAACAACCATGTTATCTTCAATGTGTTTAACATTTACCAATAATAACAATTGAAAACAGAATAAAATATACATTGCAATCATGAATATATTACATAAAGTTTCAATTGCGAATTGTTGAATTTGATATGTGACTGAAATTATCAAATTGTTATGAACAATCAATATGATATATGTAATCGCAAAACTGTAATGTTAAATGAGAATTGTTAGCAACCACATTATATAATCGTTGCAAACATTTCTAACGTGAAAAATATCGAGACACCAGCACCTAGTCATTTTAGATCACAACACCGTTATTATTTACCTTGACACCGAAACGCAGCATAGAAGCAATTTGTTTGGCGGCAGAAATAAGTAACACAAGTGAAAACTTTATACAAAGTAATTCACTGTTACCCCGTATCCGAGCGCAATTGCACACAGAGAAAGAAATATGTATACTATAAATGTTAGTGCGAGTGCATTATGTATGTGTGTGCTAATAGTAAAAAACTCATGTAGTTATAACACCTTGTCCCATACAACTTCCCACCCAGTAAGTATGTTATATACAATTTACAGAAAATTGGTACAAATTTATGGTTTTAAGTTTATAAAGTATAACTGCATATAATTGCACTTTCTTTAATTTTAATATTAAAAACATAGTAAACACAAAATCATAAGATTCTATAATGACATATAGCAATTATACATGTGATAGGACTACTCTACATTTTACCATCCGCATTGATAGGGATATGTAATAAATAAGCAATATGATATCTTCACCGTTATAAGTACCCACAATAAATAAAATAGTGTGAAGAAACAATTCATACAGAAATGTGAAATCTGATTCTTTCTATAATATATATAACTCCAACATATTATTTTATGAACCTCTATTATATTATGAACAGAATATGCTACCACAGCGGTGTAAATATTATAATCAATAATATTGAATATTACGAGTTTTGGAGTTACAATCGATTTCAAAATCCGTACCAATGAAATTAAAATAAGTCTCTTTCTCTTTCTCTGTCTAGCTTCTTCCAATTTCATTTGGGCTCGGCTCTCTCGGCTACCTTCGCCATGACTTCTGTCTTATGTAGTCGATTACCGAACAGATTATGTTTTAAAAAATAACAGCCATTTAATGCGATATCAGTAATAGTAGTAACTACTATAAATACAAATTTTGTTTACAGATTACTGTTACAATTCTACTCAACATTAACATTTAAAAGTTGTGATAATATGCAGTTATACTTGACTATTTTACAACTTAATTACGCCTAAACACTTACCTGTTATAACAAGAGCTATCTATGTATATATATTTATTAAAAATGGGTAACATTCTAAAACTTGCAACACCAACCTTTCATTACAAAGGAGTTTGAAGTGCGAAGGAAACTAGCTATGATAGAGTATGGATGATAATAGAGAAAATTAAAAAATAAATCATTCCCTATAACTATGGGAGGGGGACAAACATTCTGGGAAGAAAACTTCGAATAAATAAAAATTCGGGGAAATTTACACCAACATTCCATTTGAAAGTTTGCAACGAAACAAACCGCTTATTAGTTATGGCAACATTAAACAAATATTACGTTATTATTTAAGCTAAAACGTAAAGAAAGGCGATTTTACTTGTAATATTGCAAATAGCAATTTTACAAAGTTCATAATTTGTTATTTATATAATGTAATGTGCACACTACAAATAAATATTTTGTGTACTCGCCTTTTTAAACAATGTTGCTATAACATAAAAGATCAAGTTGGAATACAACCATCTTACCGATATCTTACCCAATTTGTAGTGATTAATAATTTAGCACAAAATTTCGCGTTTGTATGAAGCCAATAAAATGTTCACATACACAATTCCAAATTGATCAACCACGACACTTTAAGCTGATTGAATTCTTTAGCGACACTCAAAGCTTTCAATTACTACTTATAATGGTTTGTTAGTGTATATTGTTTTATACGCAAAATTATCATTTTTAAGCAAATGGTTTCTGTAACTTACAAACTTTATTGTACAGTTATTTATTTGTAAGTAACAGAGGACTATTTTTTCATTTGTTTTACAGATAAAAAAGATGTGCTAATGCGATGTTCGAAATCAGGTGATTAACTGTGGTTGATACTAGACGGTGGTTTCATGAGAAAAGCGTCAAAGCGTACCGCTTAGCTAAAGCCCTTGCGAATATAAAGCGATTAGTTTATTTACACCCATATTATATTGATATTTGTTATCATAAAACTTTCACCATTATCGGTATTATAATACGCCATTAAATTACTAATTTTTATTCTTGATTCACTACCGCGGTATTGGAAATGACTACATATAAGTGTGAATTTACATATTTTTTATATAAAACATAACAACAATATAATAAAAAGTGTTTATTGTTTTATATAAATTACTAAAAATATATTTTACGTTAATTTTACTAATCAATTCTGTTTTAGTTTAATGCTAATGGTAACACCAAAAGCCATGCTATATTGTAGATTATATTTACCTAACATAGAATAGCTTTCTATATATTATCCGGTTTATATAAAAGTGCTATTCTTGGAATTGCAAATAAAAAATAATAATTTGTATGTCAATGGCCATTAATTCAATAAATAATAAACATTATGTAATTATTTAAATTATTTTGAACATCATCAACTTATAAAAATATATATCGTTATTGTAAAACGGCCATAAAACATTCAAATTGAGGCGGCGAATATGAGAGCGGCATATGTTTTTAAGAAGCATAATATAATTAAAATTATAGACTAATAACGAAATTAAACTTGTAATGTTTTGTACCCTATAAGATAATTTTAGTGACCATATAATGAATTTTAATTCAAATTAATATAAAAAATAAAAATATAAATTGAGCAAATCAATGACAACTAAAATATATTTTTTAAGTTTATTAGAAAATTAATGTAGAATCTATTTTAATCAATTTAAATAAAGTTTAATATGCCTTCAAATAAGGAATATTATTGCTCATTAAAATTACTGCCATATACAATAAATATGATCTAATAATATATATATATATGTATCAGTTATAATTTAGTCACGAAAACCGATAGTTTCTAGTTATAAATATATCTACACGTAGATATTATACAAGAAGTTTCAAACCAAATTAAGATAGCAATATAAATAATTTCACGAACCTAAAATTAAAGTACTCATAGAATTTTCTATTTCGTCTTCTAACTTGCTTACACCTCAACCAGAGTAACTGATAGAAAGAGATGGCAACAAGGTTATATTGTATCTAATTTATAATAGCCTTGTTAATCTTTAAATGTGATAATAGTTCTAATTTTGCATTCACGTTTCAATCTCAATTTGGTTATAAGCTTCTCTATTTCAAACACAAACACTTTACTAAACAAAACAGAATCCATATGCCGCTCCCACACGTATAAGGGGGTATTATACTATCAAATATATAGGCTCATAAAACTAGGGACAGAAGTACAGTATCAGAAAAACAATATATTGTTGAATCATAATCCTAGTCCATAATCCTCCATATAATGTAATAAGGAACCAATACATTTGATAACGTAACGACCCCCTAAAACAAGTATATAAGGGGGTTTTTATGTTATCAAATATATAGGATCATAAAACTCACAAAACTAGAGATAGAACGCAGTATCAGAAAAACAACAATATATTCATAATCGTCCCTGTAACGTAACAATGAGCCAATACATTTGACAAGGTAACGACCCCCTAAAAGAACAATAGAACTTACATTCTTAAGCTTGGCTGCTTTAAGCTTAGCTTGTCGGCGCGGTGTTACCTGCACGCCGTGCTTGGAGTGTAGGTGTGGCGCGGTCTGCTTGGCGAGGCACGAGGCCAGCTCGTCCTGCAGCTCGGCCACCTCCAGGCACTGCTGGAGGGCGTTCTGCGCCAGAACCACGTGGTAGTCGATGCCAGCGTGCTCCACCGCCACAGACATGAACAGCTGCACGCACTGACAACGTACAAGAACACGCATTACAACATCATTAATTAACAATGAGGTAGCCTTATTGTATATGTTTTATAGATGATAAAGCAATGGTACACCCTGTTGCGCTAACGGTTTACAAGCATCACGTGGTAGTCGATTGCATGCTCCACCGCCACAGACATGAACAGCTGTACGCACTGACAACGTACACGAACACGCAATACAACAACAATAATGATTAATGAGGCAGCCTTATTGTATATATTTTATGTATGATAATAGAATGGTACACCCGCTTGCGCTAACGGTTTAGGAGGACCACACGTGGTAGTCGATGCCATCGTGCTCCACATTTATTTAGTGAAAACTCAAAAGAATATATATTTATTCCTCATTCAATAGATATAAACTCCCATTATTCATTGAAATGCCATACTTCAAGCCAAAATCTAATTGAAAATGCAAATCAAATGGTCATAGAAGTAGTAATTACAGCAAGAAAGAATGAGTAAGATGATTTTAAATGAACAGATTATAAAAATTGCATGTTCGTTTGGTTTACAATGTTTTTTAATATATATAAATATAAAGAATACCTTAAATAACTTTAAAGCTTCCGCCTGCAGTGCCTCAGAATTTAATGACGTTAACGGGGATGTGATATTTTCTTTGGAATACAACAGTGTTGGATGCCTCCACAGTACACAATCTGGAAATAACAACAATTTGATTACCAAAAGAATAATTTACTCTGTGTTGACTTTATCAATTGTTTTTAACCATAGTAAGAATAGGTTGTCAGTAGAAAACCAAAGCTGTCAAAAATATAATAGGTAGACATATTGTATGTTGTATACGATTACACTTTAAACTATGTATTAATATCTCATCTATAGGATTAGGGACTATTACTATTCAGGGAAGGCTATATATGCTAGATCACAAATCACCAATAGCGGGAGCATGAGCAATGAGCATCAATGTGAAATGTTGCAAAAACAGGCCCATTTTTGGAATATTTCTTAAGAGACGCTGACCCAGTTAGTTATTAATGTCTGGTCTTAACACGATAATTTATATGATAAATAAAATATTTAAGACATGAGTACTATATTAATAATAATTAATAATAAGAGAAACATGCGGCAGTGGGACAAAATAGGATAATAATAAATAATGTGAACTCAACACGAATGTAAAAGTGATAACATACTTGGATCTCCATCTGTTTCCATTAATTTCTGCACGAGCTGCTCAAAGTGCGTGCCTTGGCTGAGGCCGCCGCCGCTGACCACCGTCAGGTGATACAGCCACGAGTCCTTGTCTGCCTTACTCTCGAACAACAGGTACGTGGGACCCTGCAATGGGAGGCACATTATCTTCGTCTTTGGATAGATCAGTCACTGCAGACGGCGCTATACATGACAGAGTACTACGTCAAATTAAACTAATTAGACCGGATTGAAGTACCTCAATTAAGTGAGTGTGTACGATTTTCTCGTGCGAATATGCTATCACGCAGAAAAGAATGTGTAGGTAAATGTAGACAAAGAGAACGAGCGCGCGCAGCCAGCTCGTACATTTCGTTCTTCAATCGTGCTTGCTTTAGACTCATTTTTTTATAATTACTCATTATTACAAAATGGCGAACATCTGACTATGAAGTAAAAACAATTATTGAACCTAAATGAAATTTTACGTAAAGATAAATCACGAAGACGGACATATATTTGATTTTAAAAAACAGACGATGTTACGGTTAACAGCTACGAGTACTATACATTTTTTATTTTTACGAGTAATATACATGCAAATATGAGTACGATGAGTAAAGTCACTGACCCCAGTTACCTGGTGCTGCGGGTAGATGGCGACGGTGAGGTGGTTGCGTGTGTCGTCGTTCTTCTCCTCAGAGTCGGAATCCGACACGTACTCTACGTCTTCAACACGTGCGTCCCGCATGTTGATTTGACCCGTTGGGTTCTGTACATTTTATTTATTTATTAACACTTTATTGGAGCTTGAATGAGTTTGTTATCTCATATAACCTTTATAAGTAGCATACGAATATACTGGTAGAAACGTTTTCGCAATCTCGTTAAGACAGAACGAGACAGCAGTGTTTCAAAAATTTGTTTTTCTCTTGCATATAATAGGGAAAATTTAAACATATATATAAATACATAGACTTGTTTACACCATCGGCTCATTTGTCTATGTCATCTGCTATTAATATATAATGTAATCAACGGTTCCAAAACATGTATTATTGACATTCTATGTATATTTACAAAAAAAATATCTAAGTATTTATATAAGTTGTCCCGTATTCGTAACACAAGCTTGTTTACCGACGTTGTGTGAATTATGCAGGGATATTATTATTATTATAATAGCAAAACTAAATATGTAACACGCTTGACTTAAATTGAAATCAGCTACTTTCACGCTGCTCATACATACATACAGGACTACTCAAAATTAAAGTTACTAGTAAATTAAGACCTTCTTACTTATGTATACAAGAAATTATTATTTACCTGATCCCCAGGCGACTTGAAGTAAAGGAACATCTTGCCTATAAGCACGCACCAGCTTTTCTTTGCGTGCCCGTTTTTAACCTTTGTTAACCATCCTTGTATAGTCGGCTTGTTGTCTTCTTTACTAAGCAGTAATTTCGTTGCATTGCGCCTCTGGACATTCTGAAATTGAACATAAGAATACAAATAAAAAAATGTTCATTAGCAGGTGAAATTAAAAAACTTAAACAACTTTAATTTATTCCTCAGGAATAGCAATGTATGGGAGGCACTTCAGACGTTCATTTCTGTATATGAGCAATTTATATACAAAACTGTTGCAAATGATCTGTACTGTACTGTATAACCCATTCTAAAATTACATTTTAATTTGAAGTCAGTTGTTATGTAAATAAATCAAGTCTAAGCTTCTATTACATATTTAACCCCGAAGCAAAATGAAGGGTGTTATAAGTATGCGATGTCTGTGTATCTGTGGCATCGTAGCTACTAAAAGTACGATCAGAATTTGATGCCGTTTTCTATTTGAAGGCTAACATGCTCGAGATGGTTCTTAGTTACAATTTATTTCAGTTTTTTTTAGTATAATATGTCAATGTATATATATGTACTTGAATTTCTGAATTTCACTATTATTTTAGTTAAGCACCTGTAAAACTCTAATCCAGTCTTCCATAGTAGCAATACTATCAGCGGTGAGGTAGTAAGTTCGACTGCCAGTAAAAATCTCGAACGTAGCCGCACCCTCGTTCCTGGATATCTTACATGCTTCACCCAACCCGATTTGTCCTTGCGGCTTTCTGTTCACTTCTGATTGTGACTTCCAGTACGATAATGTGCCATTCTTCAACACGAACCTAGAAATATTTAGTTAATAGTTAACTCACTATTTCCGGAGACTGTTACTTGTTTAAAAAAAAGTAATGACATGATGAATGAATTTTTGACAATAAATTCAGTGTTTTAACGTTTTTTCATGGTTATTTACATTACACATTATATAAAGAACCACGACGTTTGTAACAGAGTCGACATATAGGAAAACATAAATAATATTACCATTGTATTAAGATATATAGGCGATTATTATTTTACAATTATTGTCAATTTTTGGGTAATTCTCACTGAACATACTTCATATATTGTTGTGTTTATAATACCATAAATTAAATAATGAAGTTTAAAACAGAGTAAGATCGGATATGATAGCTGATAAGTACTAATGCTAAAGGGTTACACTGATCCCAAATAATGAGACAAACAACAACAACAATAATAATAATAATAACAATCTGATTATTTACATTTCTTTGATTTCATTCATGCGGCATCTACCAACTTCTGTCTTTTCTTCTCTACCCAAAGGTTGTCTAGAAGAAATCGCTTAAGCAATAAGACCGCCTTTTTTACCTTCATACTCTATGAATTTTATTTAACCCAGATAAGCCTACTGTCCTATATTTAGGACAGTAGAAATAAAAAAAAATATCAGAATACCCTCTTTATCTAAGATTATTTAGTCTTATGATTTGCAGTAAGAAACGTGTCAGCTTTATTAGAAAAAATAAAAAGACAGTTATTTTAACAGTTTTTACCTTATATTTTACCTTATAAGTGTGTAATAAAAGTGCGTTGCAGACATGGCAAATGACAGGTATGTATAAAAAGGTATAGTTTATTCGTGCGTTGTTTTTTTCTGTGTTAATGTCTAGTTGATAACCTTAACTTTTGTACTAAATAAATATTCTAGCAAAATAATATAAATAAATTACGTATAACTTGTTACAAATACTAGCGTACTATATATAGGACAGTAGGATAATATACATGATTTTAGTACAATAATACAACTTTTTCTTTACAGACCGTTAGCTGCGCATGAAATTTTAGATGCTTTAGAAAATGTTTCTGATAATGAAGAAGATTATAGAGAACGACTGATATGTATTCTACCTCCTCCTGTTGATCCTGAATGTCTCACTGACGAAGATTCGGGTGCAGAAGATAATGTAACTTTGAATAATTTGCCACGAAACATTCTGCTTCAACCGGCTGAAGTAATGATTCAAGGGCAGATTATGGTGAGTGATACAGAAGAAGAACCTTCTGATTCATGGAGAAAACGGGACTTGGCAAAAAATCCCGTGAATTGGCCAGATGTTCAAGGCGCTTGCCAAGATAAGCGCCCAATTGAGTGGTTTGAAAACTTCTTAGATGAAGATGTTATTTCGTTGTTGGTGTCAGAGAGCAATAAATATGCTGTCAAAAAGAATTTGAATGGAGACATAACCACTGAAGATATGAAATGTTTCATCGGCATATTGTTGGTTAGTGGTTATTCATGGCGCCCCCGTAGAAGAATGTATTGGGAGTCGATTACAGAACGACACATGACAACACGTTCATTATTGCTAAATGGCATGACAATAATATATTCAGTATTGCTTCAAATGCTGTAGGTATAAATCCTAAACAATCTGCCAAACGCTTCTCACAAAGTGAAAAGAGAAACATTCTCATAGAAGAACCACATATGGTGTCCATCTATAACAAATATATGGGAGGAGTGGATCGGTCTGATGAAAATATTTCACATTACCGAATTGGTATACGAGGTAAGAAATGGTACATGCCGTTGCTCACACACATGATTGATCTTGCCGAACATAATGCATGGCAGTTATATAAAATAAATCATGGAAAACTGGATCATCTTGGCTTTCGCAGAAGGGTAGCAATTGCTTTGATTGAATCAAACAGAAAAAATGCCAAAAGAGGGCCTAGCCGACCCTCCCATCATGAACATGCTGATAGTCGTAAAGACCAAATGAATCATCTGGTTATTCCTCAATCGAAGCAAACACGCTGTCGTCAATGTCACAAAAAATGTTTGACACGTTGCAAGAAATGTGATGTTGGAGTGTGTGTTAAGTGTTTTGAAAGATATCATTCATAAATAGTGTTAATCTAGTAAATTACATATAACAATGGGTAATATAATCAATAGTTATCTAATAAACTACACTTTTTGATTACATTCTGTTTTGTCATAAATGGTCTTTTATTTCCTCTTATTATCCTACTGTCCTACATATAGGACGGCTGTTTCCCTGAAAGCCTTACACTTAATTTTTTTTTCATAATTTTTTTTATGTTGCATAAGATCTAATAAACTAAATAATGTAACTTTTTTCAAAATTTTCAGAAAATTTTAGTTTCAGGCTTATCTGGGTTAATATTATTTTGGGTAACAAAGTGTAATAAAATATCAAAAATATTAGTTTTAAATGATGCAATGACGAAGAAAATCATTGATACTCACCATCTCTTCCTCCAAGTCTTGAGTTTTCCACCCAACTTGGCCAGATGACCGCTCTTCTCCAGCGCGTCGTGTCGCCGAGGGGAGTCCGTTAGGAGTTGGGAGTGGGGATGCGCGTGGGGATGGGGATGGGGATGCGCATGGGGATGAGTGTGGGTATTGGGGCGGGAGAGGGATGCTAGCGAAGGCGATGCGGCTGAGCTGTCCCGCGTGCTGCACGAAACAGCGTCCGGCGGAATCGCGTAGTCATCCGACATTCCCGACTCGAACGATGTATCTGTCAGTAATTAACGTGTAAATTGAATGGATGGTAGGGATTTGAAAATAAATACATTTATTTACAATAATCATAGGAAACATATAACAAGTAAATAATATTATAAACGTTTTATAATTCATTATTTAAGAAATACAGCTGCGGCCAAATGGCTACCACTGTAATATAAACGCATGTATAACGATTTCGGTAGTGTAGCGGTTTAGCAGACATTCGACCATTGAGAGTAAAAAACTTCCAATGGTCTAATGTCCTGACCACATCTTAGAACTGATATCATGAAATAGTCAACTGTTTTGTAGAATGGCATAAGTTTCTACTAACATTACATAATTTTTTTAACAGATCAGGTATATATTTGAGATATTAGAAAATGAAGATCGTTAAATAATATAAAGAACTAATACAAGGCTATCAATGATCAAATATTGTAAAGATATATCATAAACTAGTTTTGTTAATCTATACAGAAAAACCGGTAAATATGAAAATTACCACTTTCCATTAGGATATTATTTATTTACCATTCCAAAAAGTTGATGTAATTTTTCTTAATACTAACCTCTCGTTTTACTCTGTTTACTTGGTGACCCACTACTGGATCGCTTCGCTGGACTTAAGCTGGAACTAGTTTTAACGCTTTTTGATGGGCTACTGGCACTTAGGCTCGTATCCGACGAGCTGCACTGTCCATTGGCGCTATTCGTCAGGACGAGTCCGTGGTTGGACGTTTGTTGTATGGACGTTGGCAGCGTATGTGTTAGGTTTGCGTTATTTATAGGTAACTGGTTCGATGTCTGTGCACCTGTGGGTTAGTTGCAGTGTTAATAAGCATTTCATGATTGCCACTATGATTGATTCAGTAATTCCTTTGCAATACAATGTTGTAGCCTATTTGAATCGCAAAATTGATATGATCAATAACATACAAACGGAATACACATGTCTGAAATATATATCTCCGCAATACACAATGTTATATCTATTCGAAATTATAACATTTTTCTTAAAAAAACATTACACATTTTTTTCATGTCTATTTTTTTTTTCTTTTTTATTATTACATATAAATAATTTGTCTGTCTTATGTCTTTTCAATGACCCATATCTATTCTTATATCAACTTACATACAAATAGATGGGGACTCTTCTCTTCGTATATAGGGATTAAAATGGTGCTGAAAATCGTTATTTTAAAGCAAAATTTTAGAAGTTATGGAGCATATTTTGCTCGTTTGTTAGCATGCTTTAACAGCAATAAGATTTCGATAGATTTATTAAATTGTTAACATACATTTCTGGTATATTGTAATTACTTACCAAATACGGGGTTGTGATGTGGTGTGCTATGTATAATGACGCCCATAGACTCCTCGCCGTCTGATGAATCATCCGACGAATCGCCAGTGAATGGCATCGACCTTATTTGACTAGCACGCTATAACAATATCATATAGGATAAAAAAATTGAACATTTATTTCAATAAAAGACATTGTTAAAGTATTTATATTAAACAGTAGTCTTAAAACTCAGTAGAATGGGGTATAATATTGTGAATGACATAAAAATACGGTTGAATTTAAAAATTTCTCCCATTTTAAGTTGCTCAATAATTAATAATTATCTGCTCAAATTTTATACAAAAAGTTAGATTTGTATTTGTAAAAAAACAAACTCAGAAACTAGTATAGATTTAAAATTTTCCCGATATTTAAAATGCTAGATTTGTAATTAAGTTGGTCTAAGGCAAGGCATCTTACCCCTTTAACAGTGGCGTATACAGGGACGGATATGTCCTGGTAGCTGGTGGATTCATGCATCGGCCGCGGGCACGGCGGGGGACTCAGCTCCTCCTCCACCGACTGCTGGAGGCCGTCATCTGCCACCTTAACACCGAAATATCCAATCTATCAAAGTCCAGAGCATTTGAATCATTTTTATTATTATTATTGAAAGCTAATACTTTCCAAAATAATAATAAAAATTCTATCTAATATTACAAAAAATAGCCCCCAGGACTACTTGCTATGTAATATAATTTTTTAAAGTTAATGTTAATAAATATGAACACAGTTTACACACAGAAAAATACAAATAATAATAACAAAAATCGAGACAAGTCACCACAGTACAAATGACACAGCTGAATCGAATTTAATCAAATTCGGCATGGCCTATATATCTTTTATTCTTAATTATGTGTGTGAAATTCCACAGTACATTATGATATCTTAGAATAAAGGAATGACACTGTATTGGTGATACATTCCGTATTCCCAATACATTAGATGTAATACTTTATTCTTTATTCAGACCTGATATATCTTAGCTTCCCAACTAGGAAACCGGTGTAAGGGGGGCGTAGGCGGCCTAGGCTGTTCTGATGTCGAGCTGTCTCCAGTTGAAGACCCCCCTCTGCTATTCCCTTGTACCACAACATTTATAGGACCCTGCCAGGCAGGTGTGCGCTCTGAAAAGTAAAATATAAATTCAAATTTTGTATTGATAGAAATATTGATAGTTATATTAATAATTTGCATTGTTATATTTATGAAAAGAGAAGGCAAAAGAGGTAGAGGATGTCATCTAGTCACCCGGTGGACCAGTATGAGCAAGCTTGTCGCTGCGGAAAAATAGCCCGACCCGACAACCTAGGCAAAATTGTCCTGGCGCCGAGAAATTAGGAGAGCCGACCCCGCATAAAGTGGGATAGAACTAAGAGGAAGAAGAAAAAGAAGTTATATTTATGAAAAGCTAGATCCGCCGAACGTTTGAGATAGTTGTGTCCTAATAGTTTATTCATTCCTGCATTATAATTTTTTTTTGAGGGTTTTGGTCTATTGTAATGTGTAACACTGCGACCTGCACAGATCTAGTGCTTACCCTTTTTTTAAGTTCGCTACCTAGACCCGTCAGAACAACAACTGAAGGATATTCTTAGCTATGCTTTTTATCTCCTTAGTATAGGATAGAGTAAATGAAATTTCTTTGGATAGTACACAACTTTCAAAGGTGAAAGTTCGTTTATGCATGAGGGGGCTGCATATATTATACTAGGTTGTGAAATCAAATCTGATCGACACCAAAAATAAAAAAAAAATGTGTGTCCATTTATATCTCCAATTGAATTCCCGCGACGAAAACACCGATATCAATTCAAATATAATCCGAAGGACAGTTGGTTGGTTGTTGCCTATATGATTGTGCAAAACATATTTTTATATTAGATCAAGGATAACAATAAATAAATAATAATTCACACAACCCCATCTACTAAGACTAAGCAGAGCAGTGTTATGGATACTAGACAACTGATAGTAATAAATAAATAATTGTTTTTGGTAATACATACATAACATACATATAATATATCCAGACCGATTCAAACAATCATACTAATATATGCAATACAAATGTTTGTACCGTGCGAGGAAACAGGCCATCGGAAATAAGACGGTGAGCTAAATCGCTAGACCACAGAGGCCGTGGCAAAGCATGGAACCCATGTTGCTACATAACTTATATTATTTTGACGCCGTGTAACTTACCTCTACTAGGGGTGTAAATCTCGGCATAGTCATGTGTTGTATCCCCGTCAGTTGATGTGTTAGGCGTTGTAGGCAGAACTACTAAATTCTCTACAGCCGTCTGAAAATAAAATATTCATACATATATAACAGAAAATTCAGTGAAATTATGGCTGAATTCTGTCATTCATTATTTCGTATAACTAATGTGCAGATGTAACTAGTGGATATGGTTTGTTATATTTTTTTTAATCTTCATACATTATTCAAAGTTCATAATTTATTTTCTAATCTTTAGTCTGTTTCTAGTTGGAAGTTATTTAATTTCATGAGTATTCTATTCTTTGGTATACCTTTTGTGAATAATATATTATTATTATACCAAACAATATAATACTCATGAAATTGAATAATCCAGGACAAGTCACACAACGCCATCCAGTCCCAAGCTAAGCAGAGATTGTTTTATAGATACAAGATATAAATACTTAGCTACATTTTTTTATAAATACAAATATACATAGAAATCTTCCTGTCCGATACAAACTCATTAATATAAATGTTTGTACTATACAAAGAATCGAACATGCAACCATCATAAATAAAGCGATGTGCTAAACCTCTAGGCTACCAAGGCCATCTCTTGAATAATCGTACGGTGAAGCTGTAAATGCTAGCTGCGGCCAACAGCATTAGAGTAGTCGAATAAAAAAAAGTTATATTTTTTTTTGTTTACCGCGAGATCGTCGGCCAGTAAGCTAGCTGTGGTCCTCTCGTCCATGGTTCGATTCATGGTGTTTAAGGGAGGGGTGGCAGCATTGACGTTATTCGCTATGTTGGTAGTACCGATAGACAGATTTCGTCTATGCCGCACCGGCGTACTGTAGTGGGGTTCTGATGAGGGAAGCTGCGGACAAAATTAAAAAGTTATAAATCAGAGAAGTGAGGAGATAACGGTGTATATGATTATGATAATTGTGTGAGTGGTGCCCTCTCTAATACGAAGAGTTATACAGTATCTTCACTGTAAATCTATACATATAATAAATCAAAGTCTCCATACTTGTACATTTAAAAAAAAACTTAATGGATTTTCATGTGGTTTTCTTCGATCAATACAATAATTTTTTTCTTTCTTTCTTTCTAATTTCTGAGGAAGGTTTAGATGTATAATTGCTTAAAAATTTGTGTAAATTAATAACTGAGCAAAGGCATGTCAAAGATCACTTGTTAAATTTAAGATATTGTTAAGCTAAGAAAAAGCACAGACTGCATGAGTCTTAATACATTGGATGTTTAGCAGTCAACCTGAATCTGGTATTCTATTCTATTCTATTACAATCATAATTTTCTTGTAGTCCTAGTCATGTAAGCCTTGACATATTCTGACTATGGGATTACGAACACAATCACAGTACAAAAAAGTGCATCTTGTAAATAAAATACTAACACTGATCTAAAACAATTATATCATTTAAATTGCATTCTAATAATAAATTGTAAAATAACTTAAAGCCAGAACTAATAAAATAAAAATTTGCATGATGAATGTGATAATGAAGCACAGTGTGGTATTGGTCATGTCATTGTGAAGCCAATATATTTTGTTTATTAAATAAATAAGAATAAGGTTGTGTTTTAAACATAGAATTAAAATATACATCTAACACCAATGAAAATATAAAAATCAAGTGCAGATATAAAGTAAGAGCAAAGTAATTGCTTAGCAACCCTATGGGTTTTTATGTGGGCGCTACCTGTGGCCCTTCTAGGCTTTCTGAACGCCGTCGGTTAGAGGCCAACAAACTGGAGGTTGCTCGAGGTGAGCCGTCCTCAGTCCTCACTTCGAGGGAGAGGCTCGCTCGAGTGGGTAGAAACTGAAGAAGGTTTCGTCATAGATTAAATAATGTCTAGGAATAGATACCTTGCTTACAAATAATGTTAGTGTTATAGAAATAGAAACAATCTTTATTCAATAACTCATTTGGAAAGCAGCCTCATCACAAGAAACCTGAGAAAGAAACTTGGGTGTTGCTCTTTTGAAAAAATGTTATTATATAAATAAATAAATCCACAGTTTATAAAAGTTCCAAACCATGATTTCTTTCAATGATTCTCATGTTGTGTTCTGAATTTTGTATCATCTACATATTAAAATGTCAACATGTTTCAATTATTATTTTTGTTAATCAGTAAGACTGCAGAGATCCAATAATATAAATACAGATACAAAATAATATTTGTTAATTTTATTTGTAAAAGATTTTGGGATATAATGTTTATCTCTCAAGCCTATACATTTTTAAGTATATAAATTTTTGAGTATTAAATTATTGATTGTTCATGTAATTATTGTATTTTATTTTATGTATATGTCAATTTGTATGTCTGAGTGTCCTCAGGTATAATTTCTCATTTTTGATTTTTAATTGAATATAAACACTTTGAAACTAACCATTCATGCAATTTTTTTTTCTTCTGAATAATATTATTTGCATTACTGTGACCCCTTTCACCACTTTCTATAGCAGACTAAGTTGGAATGGCTAGAAACCTCTTTTAGGGCTAAGTTCTCTGCTTACATTGTTTCTAATTAATTAAATTAATTAATGATTGTATTTAAAATTGCAACAAAGACTAAAGTATATAATACTTACAGCACAGTTTCGGCTACCCTGCGCTGCTATATGGTTCCTAAGGAGCTCCAACTGCTGATTACACCGATCGTTTTGTTCCCTTAGTAGTTGATTCTGTTGTTCTAACTCCTTGAGTTTATTTGTAACCCACTCTTTGATACGAGCCGCTTTTGCTTCTACTTGCTTCGCGTCCTGGAGTCTTAGCTGTTTCTGTAAATAATCCAATTATAAAATTAAACAAATTTAATTCTAAAAGGACTACTTTGTAACCTAATTTAAAATAGTCGATCGACGTATGAGATTTACCGCCAATATGTTATCTTACCTGCATTTTCTTTATAAATTGTTATTTGGTAATATTAATATACATAAATATAGTATACGCCTAAATACTACATAACTTCTTACAATTACATTAAACAATATATTTTTGATTTTTCAACATAACTATTTGTTTTGCCTAAACTAAATAAATAATAAAGCATAACACTTTCCATATTGTCAACATATACTACGTATTCATAATGTAGAATTCGGGATTAAATAAAATTAAATTTACTACATTATAATACAAAACAATAGAAATAAACATTATTAGTAAATAAAAACAAAACATAAAACGTCAATGACGACGTCAAAATGTGTGACGTTTGTGGTCCATCACCATGACGTCTGGCTTTCTAAGTTTGAGATGCGTTCCTATGATCAAAATTTTTTATAATCTCTTTTAAAAATTATTTAGTAGATATATGCTATACCGTTATGAAATAAATAGATATCATTTTAGATCTAAGATATACGTCTGTAAAAAAACTTTCCTCTTTTAGAAAGAGATATTTAATTTTTGGTATTATTAATTATTCCTTCTAGACAACCATTTTGGGACAAAACCGGTAGGTTAACCTAACTTTACTTTCCTTGCTTAGAACATTTAAGTTATCAAGCGAAACTTTCTTTTAGGTGGCGATATCGTGATGGAGTATTCGTGACTAGTCCTGTTTAGTAATAATTTTGCATAAACTGAATCTTAGTTTTATGAAATATACCTTTCATATTTTTATTTTGTTTTGTTATTTCATACTAACATTTTTACCCGAGTCACTCAGAAAAGTTAAAATAAAAAGTATTCGAAAGATAAGAAATCGTAACTTTAATATTTATATATTTTTATATAGTTTTATAGCAACATAATAACACCGTTATATTTAAAATGTTAAAGATTATTATGAACATGAATAAGTGCTAATTTGACTATTTTGGATACAATGTATAAAAAAAAAACCGTAATCACAATGTAAGGACCTTTTGAATATTAAACAAAATGAACATAAGGATTAATATACTGGCAGTAAGTTCTGAATATAGAGTAGGTATATGTACTGATCCTTATATGTATTGAATATAAATAACATTGGTTTCAAAGCATGAAAACAATACTAATAAATAATTTGAAAATCCCTAATAAAAATTGACTTACGCTATTATAAACGTACATTATATACATACCCGTAAATTTTATATGAGAAATACTACTTTGAACGGTAAGTATTCCTTTTTTAAAATACAGATTTGAAACTCAGAGCATACTTCCTTTTCTGGTTAAATATAAAAAGGAATATGTTTATTTTTTGTAAGTATATCGTTTCAGAATTATTTACGTAACGCTCATAAACAGTTTTAGTATATTTGTGATTCTTTTTAATAACCAAATTCAAAGATAAGGTGGTTCAGAATTCGAGTGCTTTTTGTGTGTCGTATATATTAATAGTACTTATTATATTTCACTATAATTTTACCTGCTCTTCAATTTGGCCCTCTAATCGCGATATGGCTCTGGGTGCTCCGTCAGCGCCCGTTGGCCATTCGCACAGCCGCTGCTCCATGGCGCGAACCTGCAGCAATGACAATATAATTTATTTCTTTAATTTCAATAGATATACAGAAACAATACACTCATAAAGAATAAACACAACAAAAATAAAACAAAATAAAGTTTATGGTCAACCTTTATATCTCCGTAGAGTGATGATATGTTAAACAAGATGATTTTAAATAAGACTTAAAGACTTCCAATCACAATCCATTTTAAGATAACATAAAATAAGCAAAGTCTAGTCGAATGATATACTAGTAAACTACGAGTATATAATTAGAAACAGTACATTTTTAGGCCGTTAAAATTTTCATATTAGTTGTAAAAACTTGAAAGGTAATTTTGTAATTTAAAAGAATATTAAATTGTACAGCAAAAACAAAATACTTTCTGCAATATAAAACTTTTATCTTTAATTATTAACCTGCGGCAGAGAGTTGAAATTTTGTCTAATATAATATAGTCTCTGGGTATAGTGAGTACAATTAGAGAAAGAAAAGTGCGTATCGTTCTTTGAATTATTATTTCAAACTATTGTATAATCTATGGTAACCTAATTGTGGTTTGTTATGCCATTAATACTTAATAATACGACCATAACCACAATATTGCGAGACCTTACGCAAAACCACAACATTACAACGCCCACCGACATGTTGTAACATCACATAAAATAAATTTAAACAATGTATTCAACATTGATTATGTGCATTACTTGATTACCTTTAAGTGGTTATCTATGTAGTTCATTAACTAATATAAAAGATGGCCGAGTTTAATTTAAATTCATTATTTCTTAAAGCTATATTTTTTTAAGTAGTTATTTAATGAACATCAATTGTTATAGATATTGTGATGAAATGTAATAATAAGTATCTTTCAGCCAGTACTAATGAGAATTAAGCATTTAATACTCTTATTTGTAGTCTATGAAAGTATTATACAATATGAAATAGTCAATATGTCGATAGAGAGGTTTTATTTAAAAAAAAAGTTTAAAACCTATTACAATAAATAATATTAGCACTAGTATTGTTTCAGGTTTAAAAAAAATATGACTTTAGTGTAAGACTTTTTGGAAACTATAGTTAGTGATGGTAAATATCTCACTAGACGTACTATGTAAGGGACATGTAAAAAATATATATTTTTTAAATTATAACTAAATACATAAATATCATATTTTCATTTATATATACAAGATAAGTCAAATCTAAAGAGTCGGGTAAATATGGTGTATTATGTACACGTACTCGTAAATTATTAAAAACTTGTTAGTTAAAGTAACAAATATAAATTAGTATAATGTTACCTCAATTACAATACAAACTTACATTGCTCCGTATATACGGTATCGACCGACATTCTGATGGCTTCGCACCTCATTTTGACAGTGAATCATAAACACTTACGTTTATAGTCCATAATCTGCATTACATATGAAAGCTCATGTTTCCGGTGTAATAAACTACGTGAAATAATAAAAAGTTCATTGTACTCATATACTGGCGTTATTGCGTAGTCTACACTACTAGAGTTTATTCATGATATTTCCATTGTTTCATAATTTCTAGTAATGATTTCATATTCTATCTGTATAAAATTCAATTAACTAATATAATAAGATATTTTCATTAAAATTATTAAGTGTTTGCACACTTCTTTCATGTTAAGAAAACAGATCGAAACAAGATAAAATAATTTAATAAAAATAGTTTTACTAGTTTTACTATCGAAAATAAGTTTTAAGAAATGGTTAAACTGGTAATAACTACACTAATAATGTAATAAATAACATAAAAGAAGTGTTGTTAAATATAATGAAATTTATACAATGAAGGTCAACTGTAATTGATACAATTCAAGGACATGCCAATATATAATTTATAATATTAACTATAAACTATCGATAATATTAAAATATTGGACACCACAAATTTCATAACAAAGGAAACTAAAGCAACGGTAAAGGATACAACCAGGAATAGCACGCATTAATCACAAACGCCGTAATTTGCCTGACTCACGACATGAGGGGACGGCAGTATTGGGAAATTTCTAAAACGGGCGCACACTTAGACAAGCGGTGAAGAAAAATAAGCAATAGTTAGCACTTCTGGCCAAAGATATACCAACACTGTACGAAATGAATTAAAAAAAACTATCTGTTTGATATTTTCACAAATTGTATTGTCGAATTACGGTTATCAATTAAAAAAAAAGATAAATTTAATATTCGGCATGATCATTATGAATTATTAGAAAATTGATTACTGCTTTGAGAATATTTTTATTTATGCATAATACTAAAATTGAAACAAACTAAAAATAGTTAGATAATCAACATATAGCGTATCTATAAAATAGTCCTTCAAATATATTTGTTTATGAATCGGATTTGGGGTCAAGTGTTTAAATGAAGTGTCAGAGGAAACATAGAACTGCGTTCATTATTAAACTCTGTCTAATTAAACCATTGCTAATACAAATTGTCCACTAACTACGCTTCCTTATTTATACAACAGAACAGTTAATTTTATTACGTCGTTGATAGGAAGAAAGTAATAAAACTGACGCGTTAATGCAACATTAAGTAATTTGGGTAGTATTATTATAAACATTTTGTTTATTTGAACGGGATGTATCAATCTATGATCAACATATATAGGTTAAAATTAGCTACACACAACACTCGCCGCCTTGTGATTTACTATTTCAAAATAACTGGCGTCTGAACGCATCGGTAAGCGCCACCGGATGAGGGCTTGTCGTTTTCTTCCTATTAAATACCGCAGTCAATCGAATTTATCTTTCTATTAATTACAAAAATTAAAAATATTTCAATCTATTTCAGTTCAATAATGAAATTTATATTCATAAAACCGTAGACTAATATTGTAAAGAAGAAGGCTTTTATTTTTTGTAATAATTAAGATAAATAAATATGACTGATTATAATCATGTTAATACTCGTATAAAGCTTGCAGTGACGTATTTTACGCGGGTATCGCTGCGTTGGGATACAGTTGTATATCATAAATATTAAACCTGAAGTAAATGTTTTTTAATTTCATATCTATAATCTTCCATTATTGATCTTTTGAAATCTAACACAATCACAATACTTCGTATTCCACTTTAAGCTTTAGATTGATGAGTGACAGTTACTTGTTAACGTCGGTGTAGTGCAATCAATCTAAATGTTTACCAACGACGTGGACCATTTGGCGCCCGGAATAGATCAAAGTCGCTTCGATCTCATATCGCGATTGTGTCTCGGACGTGATACATCCGGAGTTCCGCTTATTTGGGCCATAGGAAATGATTAACAGGAATCTTGTGTGTGGCCATCACTGGTTACAAATAACAAGAGATTAGTCACGAATTGCCTAACAGCATTACAGTAGCAACTTTTTATTTATTTGTATTATTAGAGTCTCTCCCCGGTTTCGCTGGCTGGGTTCTAGTGGCGTTGTGAATTTTGTGTTTATTAATATGTCACTCTGGTATAATGTACCCTTCAAACGTTGCAAGAAATTCTCAAATCGGCGCAGTGGTGTCGTGTTTTCCTTATATGTTATAAATTCGCTTTCTCTTTTATCATTAGTATACTTATTATACTAATGGACTATTACAGTTTAGTACTTCCATCATCCTATTTATATTATAAATACGAATGTTTGTGTTGGATGGATATTTGTAAATCTTCACGTAGTAACTGCTAAGCGGATCGAATACTTGGTACATTATATTCTAGAATAACATATATTAGAATTCTCACGATTGACATTTGGGGAATACAGCTCGTTATAGTAGCAATATTAATGTAAATAAACGATTACAGCGTAATAAAGCTTCTGTGAGTATTTCTTAATATAAATGATGTATTTATTGATTACATTTAATTATATCGTTTGGTATCATATTGCATTATAATCACATCAGACGTAAAATAAACTACTAAAAAATCTCTCTTCTCGTAAAATCATTACACGTAAAATTAACGTCACATATATTAATTGTAAATACAAATAATCACATCAATGTCGTAGTTGCCTACAATTAAGGTTGAGCTAAGTATATTAATATTATAGTGCGTTATATATAATATAATTGTATTGGAGTATACCTTGTTGCTGAACTAAATAAATAAAATTAATTACTATTCAATGAATTTCTGTGGAACAATTTTTTAATATTATATGAAAATGTATCTGATTCTCTATCTATCTGTTATTAGATATTTCATGACAAAATTTATAATAATATATTTTGATATCATATTCTAATCTAAATATTTTTGACGTGCGAACATCGGAAGTAAGGCGGTGGGTAGACCCGCTAGACAATACCACAGAGGCCATCAAAAATTTACGTGAATAGAGACTATATAAAGAGAACGGATATAGGCTAAATTTTAGCTTAAAACAGCAAACAAATCCGTGGGTAACAGCTACAGTTAGTTACATAAGATATGTAACTAAATATTTACAACTAGCACCTTATGAACTGTTGTTACCCACAAAGGAAAACGGTTTGTTCTGTTCTCGAGTTCTAATTAACTTTAGCCAAGTAAGTCGAGAGCGGTGCGGGGCCTCAGTGCCCAGGGTGTGCCCGGGGACTATAAATTAGCGATAGTGCAGGTTCGAGTACAGTAAGGAAAACGTCGCATTTACTTAATGAGAAAGTTTCTACCTACTGTTTTGTTTCAAATGGATATTGTGTTCTGTAATGGGCTAATTTTAAACTTTAGTTAAATATAGATATATATATAGATGGTTACTGAGTTTGTTCATGGCGATTAAAAAAACTATAAACAAGGTATTTTTGATATATAATAATAGGTACAACAACACCCTTTTTCTCTTTCGTCACGACTGTGATCGCAGATGGGGTAGCCCGTGGCTTTGTCAATTGTTGTCGATGTTGCGGTGAACGTAAACTTTGACATGCTCACATTTCAGAATACTTGGATTCAACATGACAGGAGAGCCTACCGCCATCTTAATTTTAGGTTCGATATTGATGTTTCCTTCACTGAAGAGATAGTAAGAAATATAAATTGACACAAATCGTTTTTCTTTAGTGTCGACCAGATATGTTCTAAGCCGTTTAACACCTGCCACTTTGATCCTATGAACAAAATATATTATAATTATTAAATATAGCAACTATAATGGAATATTTCGACTGTTGACCACATTGCTATCAATCTACCATTTTAGGTTGCCACCACGCGGTTCCCCCTGGAAACCACCATGATAACTTACAGGTGAAATTGTCCTAATGGGCATATTCCATATTCAAACTATCATGCTTCGTAAGCGCAGTTTTCTTTCAAGCAGAAATAATTTAATAGCTTTGCGATGGACTATCTTATACTTTCTGTTATCTTATATTTCGTACAGTATGTAACGAGAACTAAACTGGATATAAAACTTTATTCTAAGCAAGTTGTATAGCTGTATTAGATAGAACCTGTGTCGTAATAGTAACCTAAATCCTAATATTCTCAGAAGCTTGCACTGTACTTAAAAGATAAAGGATTCTTATCTCGATGTAGGTACGCAGTAATAGTACGTACGTAATATTTAGAACTGCTTATATTGCGGTCAAAAAGAATGTCCTCGTAACGTGGACAATGTCGTGTAAAATAAATAAAATTTTATTCAAATTTGTATTAATATTTTTATAGACAGATTTCGTTAACTGACTTATTATGCGCAGCTAAAGTTGGGTCCATAATCTTCAAGTAACATATTTCGATAAAGTAGGTATCAATTAGAAACAATCACTTTTAGTTCCCTGAGGAACAGGAGTGGTCTAGACTGCGTGGGCAGTACCGCAGTAATAAGATGATAGAATATAAAATCATTGATAAGTAATCTTAAAGGACGATTCGTTAAGTATATTATCGTTTACGTTAAGTTTTTTATCATCACGTTAATTGAATACAATAAACTTTAGAAAAGAATACCTAACAATAACAATTCTTGCAATTAAATTTATAAACCATTTTATTACATGATCACTGATGAATACCACAATATTATTTAAAATCTTGATACACTATCTTTTTAGCAAAAACACTGTAGCAATTAGAATCGAAAAACCACAAACTAAAGTCGTAATCACGCTTTGAAAGCGCGAACAAAACACACTTAAAGGGCAGTTCACATTATCCGACCTAAACCAATCCCCGTGGAAAGGTTCATTTGGGGAACGGTATCTTATGATTTGAATAGAGAACGCGACGTGCGCGCTCTCTGCGGCGCGGAAGCGAACTAACTTGCACCAAGGATATCCTACAGGACGTGCCGAGTATACATTATATGAGGATCGATATTTACATAGTGCTTTTAATATGCAAGTATTATACTGAAAGCATACAATTTAATTTAATAATTATGCATAAAACTCGAGAACATTAGTTTTGCAAGAAATATTTGAGAAGATGACAAGTAGAAATCTATGATAAATTTAAAAAGCGCAAGTTACATTTTGCATATAATTGTATATAAAATACTATCAAAATGGCGATTCTATTGAAAAAAAAGCGTATTAACTTTTAAATTTCTGAAGTATGGTCCATTTAAAATTACGTATCTACTTAAAGTCAAAATTATTTTATTGTTCTATGGACAGTCAAATAAAGTAGACGAAAGAATCAAGTTTTCCGAAATTAGGTACTTACAAGGCATGGAATTTTAAAAATATCTTAAAAGAAACGTCTAGAGACTTGAACTTTATAATAATGTCCTTCGTCTATTTTTATCATTCATAAATACCAGTGAGTGAATTAAGCTTGAGTCGATTCACAAACAAAGGAGTCCCGAGTTAGGGCCGAGTGAATAGCGTGCATACTAATAACAAGCGTCGAAACTAATCCGCACTGTAATAATTATATCACTACTCCATTCATTTATAATTACTCTGAGTAAAGAGTAGTGAATAAACTCTTTTAGAATTTAAATTGCGTTCCGGTAGTTCCGCACACATTTGAGTAAGTACTTTGATGTTTTAATCACTTACATGTGATCTGAAGAGGTAACTAAAATTATTAATATAGTGAAAATAGGCCTTAAAGTAAGAAATGAACCGTAGTTTAGATATTATGCATTGTTGCACCGAAGGGTGTGTGTCATATTCTGAGGATATATATCACCGTTCGCAACAGTTGTTATGGTGGGAAATTTAATTAAATTACTGTATAATTATCCTTATTTTACTTTTTTTTTTTAAGTTCAACAATGTTGGCAAAGAAGAATCTTTTTGTTTTTGAAATACTTAAATTTCCTACCATATCTATAAAAATAATCATGCAAATAGTAATGGTCTATATAAAAAAATACTCGTTCAAAACCTTCAAACTTTTGGTCGGCAACTTATATTTTGTTTTACTTACGTACGTACTTTAATTAGATACTAAGCTAAATTAAAAATAATTATTACTACGTATATACGGTAGAGAAGATCATAAAGACCAAGCAAGTCCGCCATATGTGCTACATTGATATAAATATTTTATACATTAAAGTTTAAATAATTGCTAGTCTAAAAAGGTCATTCACCGCCATAGATTTACCATGCTTTCATGAAGCTTGTTTGATAAATGTTTATTAACATAGAATTTACGATCAATTGAACATTCCTGTGGAGATGCGCTATAATGTATAAAACAGGATAGAATATTAAAAAGTACACGAGGCAGTTGTTCATAAATATGTTTTTCGGATCTTTACATACACATGTAAAGATCTCTTTAGAGGTCGATTTTTTTTGGATGTTTAAACATTTTGGTAGTTTTGTAAACTCAGAATCTGAATTGTAAATAGGTTTTAAGAATATTGGGTTGAAACAATATGCTCACCAAGTTATATCATGATACTAATAACGCTATTTTCCTATCGATAGTATCTTAACATATAATATTATTGACTTAAATAAGGAACTATTCTTGAATTAAATCGACGTATTGTTGATTAAATTCGCGTAAAAATCATTAGAAAGAAATTGCATATTTTATTAAATTTGAATCTCAATTTAGACTTAAATTCCTGTGAAACTAATTTCATATATAAACTTATTACAACTCAACTCTGAAATTCTCCTCAGTTTCTATGCCGTCAATCAATATTTTCATATGTATTGCGAACATTGTATACATAATTTAGGAGATATTAACGTGTAGCAAAGCGACATGACTGTCACTTCACTAAACATTAATATCAACGTTAATGCCAGTTTAACATTGACTTAATTATATAGTCATACTATAAATTATACACATAAGCTATTTAGTAGCGAGCAACACAAAAGGCTTCTTCTATTTATGTAAATCGCACATGATATATGAGAACATGTTTTTGCATACATTAATAAACTTATTTCGAGACAGAACCTGTACAAAGTACTAATATGATGTCTATAAATGATTTTAATATAATTATGAAGTATTTCAAGTAATGAAAGGTGATTTCTACAGTAGAACAGTGGATTGGTTGATCTATTTCTCTCTCATTATTAACTCTCTTCTCTTTTACTAAGTTTTATTATACTCGACCTAGACTGATAAGATATTATCTTTTTTTCTTTTATTGTATTCTTCGGATAAAGGTTTCTTCTATTGATGATTGACAATACTAGTTATTTAAAAATTAATAAACTAAGATGGCATTTTGCAATCAAATTTTAAAGAATATTTACTTTTGCTATTTATTCTGATCTGTGTTTCCTTATCACGTGGTCTAAATGGGTTCATGATTTTGTATCAATATTAAAAATACATAATTAGTCTATGGAAACAAAAGCTACGATTTAGAGTATTTTTGTACAAATACGTAGCATAAACATTAAAAATACTATTCCAGAGTAAATCCAAGTTAAAATATCTACTGAAGTAAAATAAGGACCTGACAACATTAAGAGCAAAATCGGTGAGGTCTGCACCTAAAAATAAGAATACAGGGTACAACCAGCACTATCCATGATTGCGATACAATTCCGAGTTCCGAGTCCGAGCAGGATCACAAATCGCATTTCTACGTTCAAAACCAATTTATGTCACTAAACTTAGTTTTATTACATCGTGTCGCGACGCGCGTCTACTTCGATACTACATATGTATGTATGTACATATAACAGAAAGAGCAGTGTGAAATCAGTGACGCATTTTGGAACAGATCCAGACACTCGGAGGACAAACTGCCAAGGCTGGATTTGCCTTGAAAATATTTCAAAAGGAAATTTCATGTCGAATTCGGAATAAATATTTGTTTTGTCAGAAATATAAACTATAGTAAACTTTAAATAAACTAGATAGTAATGCAGTTATAACGTTATCGTATTATAAACGCGAAAAATATATATACATAGTAATTGTATAACTAAGCAACATAATATTAAATTAGAATATACTAGAAGAGAAGAAACTAAAAAAAAACATTTTATTAATTTAATATTGTCTTCTTATTTTTCTTAAAGCGGGTTCATAATATTTAAAAACATTTTTTAATATATTATCCAATATAGAGAGTAATTATGTACATTATTAAATTAAATAGGAACCACGTCATACATTATGGGTATAGAAATACTGGGAGCGTCGTCTGATATGACTGATTGGTTTACCATAGAAAATAGAGAATCTAAAGTTCATAAGTTTTTTGTAAATATAAACGTATATAATACACCCAAATACCCATGATGTATTCATGAGTATTATTTAATACAGATTTATAATGTTTGTATCATGCGATGAATCGAATCCTCGACCATCGGAAGTAATGCGATGTGTCAAGACAAGCGGCCACCGAGGCCGTAATTTATTAAATACTGTTATTATATGCTATAATATATTAGTATTATACTGGATCAATCCCGTTATCTTGGCGGTAAAATATCAATTTGTTGTTGGAGAGTTTCCAACTCCAATGATGGTATTATGAAGTACTGTAATTTAGGCAAACAAATATTTTATCGGTGTGTACCACTAGTATTTTAAAAAATTGTCATATTATATCTCATAGTAGTAAGATTTAAAAAAAGTATCTCACAGTAGGATCAGCTCCAAAGATTGTGTAGTAAGTTGCGATATTTCAATTTACTACAGCTTACAATTCAATTTAGATTATAAATTACACAAGCTGTACAGATTTATTGACATCATTATGAAGATAAGTGTAAGTAAGGAAGTAAGTACTAAGCATTTTTTATTTAATTAACCAGAGAACATCTGTACAATGTCAACCAGAGTATAGTCAGCTTACACCGGTACTTAAATATTGTATGTATAGATCCCAAAAAATATGAATAATGAACCATCGTAAAATTTTAATAATCGGAACAATCTTAATATATAATATTCTTCTATAGGAGAGAATATTATCTATTAGATCAAATTTAATGAAATTTGTGTGTATATTTCAATAGCCACCCTAGTAGCTAGCTCTGCTTTTTCGTGTACGAGAATAATTGTAAAAAGAAATAACAAATAAACATAAAAATATTCTCTACTAAATGATTCGCCAATTAGACCTAGAAATGAGCTCAGCTCAGAACAAAGGAACAAAGCAATTGCATTAACACAAGCGAGTGGACGTGGCCGGCGGTAGATAGCGTAGGTTGTGGGATAAAAGGATAGACGAGGCGCTACTAAACTGTACTCTTGTGAAGAGATAGTACAGTTACTGTACAATATACATAGATATCTTTATAATAGAAGGACTAGCAAAATGTTTGAAACTAGGTTTAGCTACCAACTATGATCTGATTTCTAAAATTTACATGGGAGTGGTTATGAAATTGTACGCAGAATGATTTATTAGACAGGATATTAGAAGTTGAATAAACTAAATAAAATGAAATATACATTTAAACTCATTAACCAAGTTCATATTTATAATTTTAGTAGGATGGGGAAACATCTATTCATTGAATGAGTGACAAGTCTGTGTTCCGAATGAGTAGTAGAATATAAGAAATATAACTATTCATAAGTTATATTCAGTTTATTTTAATAAAAATTATTTCTATTTCTAATTATTTCTTTACTATGACTATAATAGCGGGTAATCCCGCTATTATAGTCACGGGTATCGCCTGCTTTTTTAGACTTCCTTATGATTGCAATTTATCTTCACGCCATATTTTATTAAGATGCATTCATCCGTTTTGTTGTGGAAAGGTAACAAATAGACAGAGATACTTCGGAATTTATAATATTAAAACAAAAGTATAGATTAATGCCTTTATAAT